GCGGCGGAGGGAGTGGGGGTGGCGGTGGGAGTGGTGGCGGGGGTGGAGGTGTCGGTGGTAGCAGTGGAGGCGAAGGCGGCGGAGGCGGCGGCGGTCCTAGCGGAGGCGGCGGTAGTGGCGGAGGTGGAGGAGGCGGTGGAGGAGGAGGTGGAGGTGGTCGGGGTGGCGCTTCGCAGCGGAGCAGCACTGGTGGTGGTCAGCGCCAGTAGCAGCAGCAGCAGCAGCGTTCTCAGGACATCCCCCCCCCTCAGCAGCTCCGTGAGTGGTACACGCAGCGTCAGCGTGGTGGGGGCTTTGGTCCCTGCACCTACGTCCTTCGCACCGGCGACCGCGCGGGTGAGCAGTGTGGGGGTGCCCACCCTACCCAGCGCTGCTTTGGCCGCCTGACGGACGCTTGGCGTCAGCAGTTCCCGGAGGCCAGCGAGATCCCCCACTGGGGAGAGCAGTCCAGGGCAGGCGTAGCTATCTATGATCTTGACTTTGATGCTATCCTTGCTGCCATGTATGCTGTGACTATTAGTGATGAGGGTGACTGTTACCGGTGTTTCCCGCCCGACCCGGGCATTGGTAACGCTGCTCTTGGTGCTGGTGAGGCTGCTGCTCTAGGTGCCAGTGCGTCTACGCCCTCAGGTACTGGTGAGTCTGCGCTCTCAGGTACTACGTCGGCTTCGGCCTCCCTCACCTTCACCCTTGACTCTGGGGCTTCTCGCTCCTTCTTTCGGGACCGCACCATGCTCACGCCGTTTAGTCGGCCGGTTGCGGTGTCTCTGGCTAACCCCTCTGGGGGCCCTGTCCTATCTCGCTTCTCCACAGTCCTCCCGTGTCCGGCGGCTCCCTCTGGCACCATGTCTGGTCTCTACCTCCCCTCGTTCTCTACGAACCTGGTGAGTGGTGCTGACCTACAGGATGCGGGTGTCCACCAGTTCACTCCTGCGCGCCAGCGGGTGACGCACTGCACCGAGGCTAGCACTGGCCGACACCTGGCTACGTTTACCCGTCAGCCGGGGTCGAGCCTGTACACACTGACCACTGCGTCTCCTCCCGTTGCTGAGTCTGGTAGGGTAGCTGTGTCGGGTCAGGTGTTTGCTGCAACGTCCAGGTCTGGTCCTGAGTCTGCCCCCTGTTCGTATCGTCTCCTGTCTCACGAGACTCTCCTCTGGCACCACCGCCTTGGTCACCCCTCTCTGCTTCGGCTCAGAGGCATGGCCTCCCGTCTTCTTGTGTCTGGTCTGCCCCGGTCCCTCCCTCCCCTTCCTCAGGGCCCTGGCCCTGCCTGTGTCCCTTGTGTCGAGGGGCGCCAGCGTGCTGCCCCTCACTCCTCCCAGTTTTCTCCGACAGAGGCCCCGTTGCAGACGCTTCACATGGACGTCTGGGGCCCAGCTCGCGTCTGTGGACAGGGTCACAAGCGCTACTTCCTGCTCGTTGTTGACGACTACTCGCGTTACACCACTGTCTTCCCCTTGCGCAGCAAGGGTGATGTCACTGAGGTGCTGATCGACTGGATCCGCGCAGCTCGTCTCCACCTCAGGCAGAGCTTCGGCTCGGACTTTCCTGTTCTACGTCTGCACTCGGACAGAGGCGGAGAGTTCTCCTCTGGCCTTCTGCGAGCCTACTGTCGTGCACGAGGCATCCGTCAGACCTTCACGCTTCCGGACTCACCGCAGCAAAATGGGATTGCTGAGCGCCGCATTGGCATGGTCATGGACGTCGCTCGTACGTCTATGATGCATGCGGCTGCCCCCCATTTTCTGTGGCCGTTTGCGGCCAGGAACGCGGCGCATCAGATCAACCTTCACCCCAGGGTCTCCAGGCCGGAGAGTTCCCCAGCCCTGCTGTGGACGGGGAAGGTTGGAGATGCGTCGGCGTTCCGAGTCTGGGGATCTCGGGCGATTGTCCGCGACTTGTCTGCGGACAAGCTGTCCCCTCGCGCTGCTCCTTGCGTCTTCCTGGGGTTCCCCCCCGACACGCCTGGGTGGCAGCTCTACCACCCCACCTCTCGCTATGTTCTGTCCTCCCATGACGTCACGTTTCACGAGTCGGTCCCCTACTACCGCCTCTTCCCCTACCGCACTCCGTCCCTCCCCCCGCCCCCGCTCTTCCTTGTACTAGGTCCCCCCCCGGTAGACCCCCTCCCCCCTCAGGGTCCTGCCCCTTCAAGTGTGTCCTAGGTAGACGCAGTCGAGCCTGTCGAGGTCACTGGTGACTCTGGTGTTGCTGAGGGTGCTGAGCCTAGGGGTGCTGAGACTGGGGGTGCTGAGCCTGGGGGTGCTGAGCCTGGGGGTACTGGGCCTGGGGGTGCGGAGCCTAGGGGTGCTGAGCCTGGGGGTGCTGAGCCTGGGGGTGCTACGCCTGGGGGTGCTGAGCCTGGGGGTACTGAGCCTGGGGGTGCTGAGCCTTGGGGTGCTGGGCCTAGGGGTGCCACGCCTGGAGGTGCTGTGCCTGTGGGTGCTGGGCTTGGGGGTGCTGAGCCTGGAGGTGCTCCGCCTGGAGGTTCTCCGGGTGCTTTGTCTCGCCGGGAGCCACTCTCTCCACAAGAGCTGCGCGAGTGGTTTGCCCGGCGCTGGAGCCGTGCTGCTGGTGCTGGAGGTTCTTCGGCTACTGAGGGTGCTGCTGTCGCGGGTCCCGGAGGTGCTCGTACTGGGAGTACTGGAGCTGCTGGGCCTGCAGGTTCGACTGGAGCTGGTGGTGCTGAGGGTGTTGGCGCTGAGACTACCACTGGCGGTCCTGCTGGGGGAGCTCCTGGTGCTGCTGGAGGTTCTGGAGCTGCTCGAGGTGCTGCTGGAGCGGGTGCTCCTGCTGGGGGTACTAGTGCTGTCCCTGCTGTTTCTGGCGTTGCCACACGGCCTCGACTGTACTTCGTTCCACTCTTGCAGCAGGTTCTTGGTCTTCCACCTTCTCCTGGTCCTCCTCCTCCCTTAGAGGGTCCACAGCCTGTCCCGTCACAGTCACAGCTACAGCCTGCCTCCCCTTTGCCTGCTCCTTCTCCCTACGCTGGTCCTACTGGAGGTCTTACTGAGCGTCGTGAGCCTGAGTCTCGTCCTGCGTCGCCTGTTTGTGCTGCTCGCGCTAGTGGTCGCGGTTCGCGTCAGCGTCCTCCTCCTGTCCCTGGCACGCACAGGATGTCTCTGCGTCCGTCCAGTGCTCCTCTGCGTGCCCCTTTGCCTTCCCCTCCTGAGTCTTCTCTTCCTGCTCTTGTCGACCCGGAGTCGGACTCTCTTCGTGGTGCCAGTCCTACTGTCACGCGTCTCCTTGCTACTGTCGTCACTGACCCTTCTTTCGAGTCTACTGCTGCGTTTGCCATCGTTACTGAGCTCGTCGACTTTGCTGCTCGCTGTCGCCTAGACTACGCTGCTAGTCTTGTCGCTGAGTCTGCGTCTGTCTGTCCTCCGTCCGTCGGGGGTGAGTGTGCCCTTGGCACGGACGTCCTTGAGGACAGGCAGGAGGAGTTCCAGTGTCTGGCAGCTGCTTCACCTCATCTCGTGTCCGTACTCCTTACCCCTGAGGGAGACCCGGATGCACTTGACATCCCGACTCCGCGCTCTTACGCGGAGGCGATAGAGGGTCCCTACTCCTCTCAGTGGCAGGCAGGTATGGATGCAGAGATGGCTTCCTGGAAGTCCACAGGCACCTATGTTGACGCTGTCCGCCCTCCTGGGGCGAACATCGTCAGTGGCATGTGGATCTTCAGGGTGAAGCGGCCGCCGGGTTCTCCGCCTCTCTTCAAGACGCGTTACGTGACTCGTGGCTTCAGTCAGCGGCAGGGAGTTGACTACTTTCAGACCTTCTCTCCCACCCCGAAGATGACCACTCTTCGGGTACTGCTGCACATAGCTGCTCACCGCGACTACGAGCTAGTCTTCTGTTCTCGGCTCTAGTTGTGAGGCTGAGATCTACGCCGGGGCCATGGCTGCACAGGAGCTTCGCTAGCTCACCTACCTTCTGATCGACCTTGGAGAGCCGCCTCGTTCTCCTCCAGTCCTGTACGTAGACAACAAGGCCATGCTGGCCTTGTGTCGAGAGCAGCGACTGGAGCACAGAACAAAGCACATTGCTCTTCGCTACTTGCTTGCTCGTGAGCTACAGCAGCGTGGACAGTTGCGGCTTGCGTACGTGGCCTCTGAGGCCAACACTGCTGATGTTTTCACCAAGGCGCTTGCGCCTTGTGATCATCAGCGCTTCTGTACTCAGCTTGGTCTTGTGCCTGTCTTGCCTCACTTGCTCACTTCTTGACCTTGCTTGTAGTGTCACATATATATACTCTTGTTCTTGCTTGCTTAGCCTCTTATATATATATGTGCTCCTCCATGTGAACTGACCTTGTGGCCTTGAACTTGTGCTCGGAATGTGTGGTGACTTTGTGATCCACCGTGAGCTTTGCTTTGCTTTGCTTGACTGGTCTTGTGACCCCTTGTTCTCCCCCACTTTGCCTATGGGGGTGTGTCAAATTATAATCTTGTGTAGGCTATAGTGGGGTAGCTCATATGGGGTACACATTTCTAGGGTTGCATATCTGTATCACTTCCATTCCATAGTCATTCTCTCTCGTTCTACTTTCCTCAGAAATGTGATTCGAGCTCAGATTCTGCTTTTGAGTTGACTAAAAAGCGCATCCGCAACCGGAAATGTGATTCGAGCTCAGATTGTGCTTTTGAGTCGACTCAAAAGCGCATTCGCAACTGGAAATGTGATTCGAGCTCAGATTCTGCTTTTGAGTCGACTCAAAAGCGCATTCGCATCTGGAAATGTGATTCGAGCTCAGATTTTGCTTTTGAGTTGACTCAAAAGCGCATTCGCATCTGGAAATGTGATTCGAGCTCAGATTTTGCTTTTGAGTCGACTCAAAAGCGCATTCGCATCTCGAAATGTGATTCGAGCTCAGATTCTGCTTTTGAGTTGACTCAAAAGCGCATTCGCAACTGGAAATGTGATTCGAGCTCAGATTCTCGGACCCGCCGCACTCTTCTTTCGGTGCGCTTTCAGAGCGCCGCTCTAAAAGAGAAATGATTGCTACTGCCGAAAATCACCGCCAGATTACAAAACCCATCGTCGGGCTAAGAAGGGTTCTCGGAGGTTTCAAGAAACGTGTTACAATTTGTCGACTGCCACTCTCACACCGCCTCTCTGTCGCTCTTCTCGTCTTTGCTTGTCTACTTTCCCCCTGCGCCAGCCAGCCCCCTGGCGGAGGGAGGGGGCTACCGCCGGGGCGTGGGGGCGGAACGGGGGAGGGACTGGCGGAACCCCCGAGCGGGATGCCGCCTGGGTGAGAGGGGGGGCAAGGTCCGCCTGGCAGAAGTGGGGGACAGGAGCCCCTTCTGCCTGGCGGAGGTGGGAGAATCGGGCCCCTCCCGCCGGGCAGAGATGGGGGAAACGCCCCCCTTCCGCCGAGTGCAGACGGGGGAATTGGGGAAGCGGCTGGGGAGTCTATGCCCGTAAATGTGACGGCGGAACAAGGTGGGGTGTTGAAAGGGGGGGTAAGGGGGAAAGGGAAAAAGGGACGGGGGAGGGGGAAGGGGGAATGGGAAAGGTGTGGAAGGAGGGAGGGGGGAAGAGCGTTGGGGAGGGGAGAGCGGTGTGGGGAGTGCATGGAAAGGTGTGCGGAAGAGCATGGGAGCGGGTTTTAAGGCTCAACAGGAGCTACGCGGTGAATCCTGGCAGTGTAGTTTTGAGTGCATCAAGATTAGAACCCTGGTAGTGAGTGCATTTCCCCTACCCCTTAGCACATCTCCCCTTCTCCCGCTCACATCTCCATCCATCTATCCCGCTCACATGTCCGCACATATCCCTCCTCCCCTTCTCACCCCTTCCCATCCCTTCCCATCCCATCTTAGGCGAAATCCTGAGGGCGTGTGGCAAAGAGATGGGGTTACCAGAGGGCATGTGGTACCGTGGCGTGCCCTGCACCCCAGTGTCGACCATCAAGTGCGGGACTGACGGCAATGCCATCGGCATGTGAGTGGTGTTAGGGGCATGTGAGTGGTGTCAGGGGCATGTGAGTGGTGTCAGGGGCATGTGAGTGGTGTCAGGGGCATGTGAGTGGTGTCAGGGGCATGTGAGTGGTGTCAGGGGCATGTGAGTGGTGTCAGGGGCATGTGAGTGGTGTCAGGGGCATGTGAGTGGTGTCAGGGGCATGTGAGTGGTGTCAGGGGCATGTGAGTGGTGTCAGGGACATGTGAGTGGTGTCAGGGGCATGTGAGTGGCAGTTGAGAATTTGCGAAAGTATTCAGTGCACCCCACAGTCGTCCATTAAGTGTGGCACTGACAGTAATGCCATCGAAATGTGAGCTGTGTGCTGGGAGGAGTAATGCCATGGCCCATGGGCATGTAAGTGACTTATGAGAGTTCGCAAAAGTGACATTAATGCCCTTCCCCCCACCCCCGTCCCCATCCCCTTCAGAGTCCTACACGAGAGGGCTCTTTCTGGATCCATCTGCTCCAATATTCTCCTCCTCACTTCACCATCCCTCACCTAACCTCTCACTCCACCCTTATTCTCTCTACCCCTCCCCCGTTCCCATCCCCCCTAGAGTCCTACACGAGAGGGTTCTTCCTGGATCCATCTGCTCCAATATTCCCCTCCTCACTTCACCATCCCTCACCTAACCTCTCACCCCACCCTTATTCTCTCTACCCCTCCCCCGTTCCCATCCCCCCTAGAGTCCTACACGAGAGGGTTCTTTCCGGATCCATCTGCTCCAATATTGGCCTGCTCACCACATTGCCCATCACGCCACTCCTCACATATCTACTCTCATTCCATCATTGGCCCCCACCCGCCTTCCCCACCCCACCAACCCGTCCCCATCCCCTCTAGAGTCCTACACGAGAGGGTTCTTTCTGGGTCCATCTGCTCCAATAGCGGCCTCCTCACCTCGCCACTCCTCACCTACCCTATCACCCCACCCTTATTCTCTGTCCCCCGTCCCCGTCCCCATCCCCCTCTAGAGTCCTCCACGAGAGGGTTCTTCCCGGATCCATTTGCTCCAATATCGGGCTCCTCACCACATTGCCCATCACGCCACTCCTCACCTATCCTCTCTCATTCCACCCTTATTTTCCCCCCTCCCCCCTCCCCCCTTCCCACCCGTCCCCGTCCCCATCCCCCTCTAGAGTCCTCCACGAGAGGGTTCTTCCCGGATCCATATGCTCCAATATCGGGCTCCTCACCACACTGCTTAGGCTGTAAGCTTATTCTACGATGATGCCTACTAGGTTGAAGCACCAGGGATGTTTTGTAGGCTAACGCCAACATTTCTTCATAGGTCAAGCTCTTAACGTACTTAGTAGCAGGCTGCTAGCCCATAAGTGGCTTAACTTTCTGTTCCGTTTCCATTGCTCCCAAAGCTTTTGCCCTACCCATGTCGAGCCTTCCATTTCTGCTTTTTTCGTTACTGACTTCACAAGTCCTCCTGCCTGCGTAAAACATTTTCGAAACATCTTTGTTTTCTGTGAACCTCGCTCCATCATCCTCGTTAGTGACTTGGCCAACAACTCGCTATCAGGCTCGCTTCCCTCCAGTATTGCTAACCTCGCACAGCTCAACCTCCTGTGAGTCATATTTGCCCCTCTTTCTTCTCCAGAGTCTTCCTCTCCTCATCTTTCTTTTGAGGCGCCTCTAATCTCGCTGTCAGGCTCGCTTCCATCCAGCATTGCCAACCTCACACAGCTTAACCTCCTCATGAGTCATCGCCTCTTGTTTCTTTTGAGGCGCCTCAAATTTTGCTATCAGGCTCGCTTCCTTAGCAGCATTGCCAACCTCACACACCTCAAACTCCTGTAAGTACTAAGTTAGCATCTCCTCATAATTCTTCTCTCTCATGAGTCAGTTTGTGAGTCCTACGTGATTGTTTACAGTGCAACGGAGGAGTAATAGGCCGGTCCTTGATTCGTCTACAGTAATCCCTCCCTCTAGCATGGATCTTCTCTGTAAAAACTGCCCCAAAAGAGTGAAGTCCCAGCCACACAATTCACCCACAACAGCACAATTTGCCACATCCTGTCCAAGCCCCTCTCTCTCGCTCGCTCTACCCTTGCAAGGGTCTCCGAATGAACTGTCCCAAGAATGGAGTTTGAGTCACACAATCTGCTCACAGTCACATGTCCCCCCGTTTCTCTTCCTCCACTTGCAGAGATCTCCGGAACAACCACCTAAACGAAACCATCCCAGCTACCCTCTCTCGCCTTACCACCCTGCAAATCCTGTAAGTTTCTCCCTCCTCCTCCCCCCCCGCCCCCCCCTCCTCTTTTCCACACTCACCGCACCCACCCCACCGTCCCATTCACTTGAGCCGCAATGGCATTGTCCATACTTGTTCTTGTTGGTCTTTTGAAGTGTATAAAGCGAGCTTGACTTTTGAGACGTCTCGAAAAACACACCCACCCCACCGTAGCATTCACCTGAGCCGCAATGGCATTGTCCAGACTTGTTCTTATTTCTTTCTAAATTTGTTTAAAGACCTGCTTTTGACATGTTTCAGAGCTAATTATTGTGAATCTGTTTTTTGTTTGTCCAGCAGCTCGCCCTGCCCATTGCCCCACTCATCTTTCCATTGGCTTGACTTGAGCTCCATTCACATCTCAGAATTCCTCCCACCAGCCAGCATTCTGTACATTTAATAAATTCAAATTTGCTGATCTGCCAACCATCCCCCCATCCTGCACTTTCTCACCCGCTCACGCCCATTCCCTCGTGCCGCTTCCTTCCCATACGCCGCTCCCCTCCCCATATCCTCCCTCCCCCCTGCTTTTGAGGCGCCGCAAAAACCATCCATCCCTCCATCCTGCTCTCTCTCACACGCTCACGCCCATTTCTTCATGCCCCTTCCTTCCCATACGCCGCTCCCCTCCCCATATCCTCCCTCCCTTCCTCGCAGGAACCTTGCAAACAACAGGTTTAGCGGAGTTCTTCCCTCCTCCATCTACTCCCTAACCTCCCTCAAACAGTTGTAAGCTCTTTCTATGCCCCTCGTGACCCTCCCTCCCTCCCTCCCTCCCTCCCTCCCTCCCTCCCTCCCTCCCTCCCTCCCTCCCTCCCTCCCTCCGCCCCTCCCTCCGCCCCTCCCTCCGCCCCTCCCTCCCTCCGCCCCTCCCTCCGCCCCTCCCTCCCTCCCTCCCTCCCTCCCTCCCTCCCTCCCTCCCTCCCTCCCTCCCTCCCTCCCTCCCTCCCTCCCTCCCTCCCTCCCTCCCTCCCTCCCTCCCTCCCTCCGCCCCTCCCTCCGCCCCTCCCTCCGCCCCTCCCTCCCTCCCTCCCTCCCTCCCTCCCTCCCTCCCTCCCTCCCTCCCTCCCTCCCTCCCTCCCTCCCTCCCTCCCTCCTTCCCTCCGCCCCTCCCTCCCTCCCTCCGCCCCTCCCTCCCTCCCTCCCTCCCTCTCTCCCTCCCTCCCTCCCCCCCTCCCTCCCTCCCTCCCTCCCTCCCTCCCTCCCTCCCTCCCTCCCTCCCTCCCTCCCTCCCTCCCTCCCTCCGCCCCTCCGCCCCTCCCTCCCTCCCTCCGCCCCTCCCTCCCTCCCTCCCTCCCTCCCTCCCTCCCTCCCTCCCTCCCTCCCTCCCTCCCTCCCTCCCTCCCTCCCTCCCTCCCTCCCTCCGCCCCTCCCTCCGCCCCTCCCTCCGCCCCTCCCTCCGCCCCTCCCTCCCTCCCTCCCTCCCTCCCTCCCTCCGCCCCTCCCTCCGCCCCTCCCTCCGCCCCTCCCTCCCTCCCTCCCTCCCTCCCTCCCTCCGCCCCTCCCTCCGCCCCTCCCTCCGCCCCTCCCTCCCTCCCTCCCTCCCTCCCTCCCTCCCTCCCTCCCTCCCTCCCTCCCTCCCTCCCTCCCTCCCTCCCTCCCTCCCTCCGCCCCTCCCTCCGCCCCTTCCTCCGCCCCTCTCTCCCTCCCTCCCTCCCTCCCTCCCTCCCTCCCTCCCTCCCTCCCTCCCTCCCTCCCTCCCTCCCTCCCTCCCTCCCTCCCTCCCTCCCTCCCTCCCTCCCTCCCTCCCTCCCTCCCTCCCTCCGCCCCTCCGCCCCTCCCTCCCTCCCTCCGCCCCTCCCTCCCTCCCTCCGCCCCTCCCTCCCTCCCTCCCTCCCTCCCTCCCTCCCTCCCTCCCTCCCTCCCTCCCTCCCTCCCTCTCTCCCGCCCCTCCCCTTTCCCTTCATCCATGGACTAGTTAACCTCCCTCAATGAGTCTTGAGATTTGTTTTTCTTCCAGCCTTTTCTTGCACCTCCCCTCCCCCCCTCCACCCCCTCGCTCATCTCGTGAGCTGTCTGCTCCCTCGATCCCTTTCATCCCCCCTCTTTCCATTGCTATCTTTTGCATTGGCTCTCATTCCCTCTCACTTTTTCCATTGCACGCCCTCTCACTCGCACTTGTATCATTGTTGCTTCCCATTGCATGCCATACCATGCCATGCCATGCCAAGCCATGCCATGCCATGCCAAGCCATGCCATGCCATGCCATGCCAAGCCATGCCATGCCATGCCAAGCCATGCCATGCCATGCCATGCCATGCCATGCCATGCCATGTTATGCGATGCCATCGCATGCCATGCCATACCACACCATGGCATACTATGCCACGTCATGCCACACGATGCCATGCCACACAATGCCATGCATTCACACAGGGATGTTTCAGGCAACTCAATGCAAGGCTCCCTGCCCCTCTCAGTCAGCACTCTTAGCTCTGTGCACACGCTGTAAGTTGGTAATCGCTTGAAGGGTGCTTCAAATGCAATAGCACTACCTGGGTGGTTTCAAACTCTTGCTCTTGCCCCATAAAGTGCCGCAGCAGTGCAGTCGTGTTTTGAGTCGAGTCAAAACACAGTACACTCAACCTCCTCACCTCTCTGCATATGCTGCAATTTGCTGGTCTCTCAAGGGCCTCCTCGAAAGCAGTATTACCACTAGCCATGATGAGCGTGGGTTCAAATTCCTGCTCTTGCTCCATGAAGCACCGCGCCGCAGCAGTGCAGTCGTGTTTTGATTCGACTCAAAACACAGAACACTCAACCTCCCTTTCACCTCTCATCTCTAGTCATGATGAGCGTGGGTCCAAGCTCCTGCTCTTGCCTTTATGAAGCGCCACAGCAGTGCAGTAGGCGGCGACTCAATCAGAGTAAATTCTTTGCCATGCCACGCACGCCACACCTTGCCTCTCTGCAAACACTTTCTGATGGGGCGACTCAATCAGAGTAAATTCTAGGCATGAGCATGTTTCTCCCATCCACGCCATGTCATTCCATGTTATGCCATGCCATGATGCCATGCCATGCCACGCACGCCACACCACGCCATGCCACACCATGCGATGCCCTACACTCAGGGACGTTTCAGGCAACTCATTTTGAGGCTCTCTGCCCCTCTCACTCAGCGCGCTCACCTCTTTGGAACGCTGTGAGTCGTCAATCTCTTTTGGAGCGCCTTGATCAAATGTAGTAGCCCTACCTGGGCAGCAGATCTGGGTCTTGCCCCATGAAGTGCCCCTCTCACTCAGCGCGCTCACCTCCCTCTCTGGAGACACTGTAAGTTGGTAGTTTCTTCTGAAGCGCCCTCACCTTTTGAAGCGCCCTGAAGCGCCTTGAATGCAGTGTTGTCAGCGCGCTCACCTCTCTAAAAAGCTGTACGTTTCTTATGGGGCAATTTAAGACCAAGTTTAGGAGGATGAGTTCAAACTTGAACTTCCTCTTCCCACCCCCCTCTTCAAAATAATTTCTAGTGAATGCACTTAGCACTCTCAGTACACTCCATTATATGTAAGTTTCCCGTGAGGTGCTTTGTAAGAGATGTACTACTGTTGTGTATGTATGGAGTGAGTGAGCTGAGCTAACCACTCTCCACCCATGTGTCGCAATGTCCTCTCTCGTCTCGTCCCTGCAGCAACGTGGGCAGCAATGGGTTCTCGGGTACCATCCCCTCCTCTCTCAGCCTCCTCACCGACCTCACTAGCCTATACGCAGCTCTCTAGTTGAGGCACCTCAAAAGCCCTTTTTTTCGTAGAATTCCTGAAGATTACAACTCTCTCGCTGGAAAATGCATTCTAGGGTGGTGAAAATGTGTCGAAGGCAGTGAAAGGCGGTCCCACTAGCCTCATCTAATGTTGTCCCTTTGACTGCATTCCATTTGTCTCTGCATGCAGCGACTTAAGGAACAACTATTTCTCGGGCCCTCTTCCCTCGTCCCTCGCAAAACTCACTGCTCTCGTCACTCTGTGAGTCCACCTCACATTATTTCAGTCAACCAGAATATACCCTTACTTTTGAGGCGCCTCAAAAGTCGACTCGGGCTCTCTTCCCTCGTCCCTGGCAAAACTCACTGCTCTCGTCACTCTGTGAGTCCACATGACGTTATCTCAGTCTACCAAAATTTGCCCTTAGTAAGGGTCCCATCCTTACTAAGGGTCCCATCCTTAGTATAGGGCAGTTGTGTGGGTTGGAATGAAGTGTCCCATCCTGGAATATTTTTGTCGATGACAAACAGAACGTCATGATGACAAACAGAACGTCATGATGACAAACAGAACGTCATGATGACAACCCAAACGTCATGATGACAACCAGAACGTCATGATGACATGCTTTGGAAGGTGGTAAGTTGGTGATAAAGTTCAAACTGACCACCTTGCCGATGTTTTTCTTGGGACAGCAACGCCAACGGCTCAGCCCACCTGAGTCAACTTCTGTGTAAAGCTGATGGCTTTCCTCCCTTCATGTTTCAAACAAATGTTTCAATGAATCTCAATAAGGTGTTTTCACTAATCAATTTTGCTTTTGAGATGAGAGGGTAAGCCATTGAGAGTATACTAACTCTGAGTCACTCCCTTGTGTCTATTTGATTGTAGGTATGTGGAGGTGGTTAGGTAGGTACCTGTTTGTGAGTCTCCTGATGTGAAGTTAGTTTGTTGTAATCTCGCCTTTCAATATACATCCAACTTTCTTTCCCTACCCTCTCCCACCAGATGCCTCGGTTCAAACATCTTAGGAAAAACAATGTTGTCGCAAATCGAGACCCTTACCGCCCATTAAGTATACATCCCCAATTTCACCCCCCTCCTCTCCCCCCACCAGTCGCCTTGGTTCCAACATGTTGGGGAACAATACTATCGCAAATCGGAACCCTTACCACCTATGAAACATGCATCCCTCCTTCCCCCTTCTCCTTTTGAGTCGACTCAAAAGTCACCACCTATGGAGCATGCATCCCTCCTTCCCCCCTTCTCCTTCTGAGTCGACTCAAAAGTCACCACCTATGAAGCATGCATCCCTCCTTCCCCCCTTCTCCTTTTGAGACGACTCAAAAGTCACCACCTATGAAGCATGCATCCCTCCTTCCCCCCTTCTCCTCACCAGTCGCCTTGGTGGCAACATGTTAGGAGGAACAATACCGTCGCAAATCGGGGCACTTACCAATCTCAATGTTCTGTAGGTATTTTCATTCACTTGTTGCACTCTGTGTATTTTCATGACCCTAACTTTTGAGTTGACTCAAAAGGCAAATCGGGGCTCTTACCAATCTCAACGTTCTGTAGGTATTTTCATTACTTGATTGTACTCTGTATATTACCTTGTTGTACTCCGTATATTTCCATTACCTTAATGTATTATAAACTTGAGGGACTTTAGTTTCCAGAGTTCAGTGGTATATCAGTATTGCTTGTCATGTGCGTCTGATTTACCACTCAGTATTGAGGCGCCTCAATAGCAACTTGAAGGGCTGGTATTGTAGTGCATGAGTTGCTGCTACACTGATCCATACCCGCCCCGTCCCCTCCTCGTGCCTCCAGTGACGTCCCTACCACTGCTATTCAAGGCGTGCTTCCCCCCAGCATTGGCAGGCTTACCGCCCTCACAGAGCTGTAAGGACAGTCCGTATACATGTTTACACAGATGAAAATATATATAAGTCAACCCAGCATAGGCAGACAACCGCCCTTATGGAGCTGTAAGTATAGATGTAAGGTGCCTCAACATCCGGCTTATTTATTTCACAGAGCTCTACATATGATCAACACGTTTTTGTCCCTGTCAATTTCTGGATTTTCTTCTATTCTCTAGTCACTCATGCAGGTGTAAGTTACCCTCGGCTTTATTCCCCTAACTCCCTCAATCCCCCTCACCTCCAATTCTAACTGCAACGTGAGGGGCATGGGAATCACGTGCTCTTCAGCAGCAGCCCACCAACCATGTGTGGTCGCCCCTGGTGACTTTTGAGTCGACTCAAAAGCCATCAGCAGCAGCCCACCAACCATGTGTGGTCGCCCCTGGTGACTTTTGAGTCGACTCAAAAGCCATCAGCAGCAGCCCACCAACCATGTGTGCTCGCCCCTGCCTTACTTCTCTGCCTACCATAGCCCTTCAGTCCCCTCAGTCCCCTCAGTCCCCTCAATTCCTTCGCCCCACCCCTCACCTCCAATGCAGCAACATGAGGGGCACAGGCATCACATACCCATCAGCAGCAGGCTGGTGGGCTGCTGCTGATGGGGTGTGTGGTGTGGCAAACCCCTTCCGGTGCTCGCCCTTGCCTCACCTCTCCGTCTACTGTTCCCCCTATATCCCCTCAATCTCCCAAACATTGAATCCAGCGACATAAGGGGCACGGGAATCACGTGCCCATGAGCAGCAGCCCACCAACCGTGTGTGGTGTGGCAAACCTCTTCCTCTCTCTTCTGCATCACCTGCCTGTCAACGGGAGTTGTGTGTTGGCCCCGTCCTCGCTTGGGCGGAGCCGACATCGTGGTCGGGTGTTAGGGGAGCAGCCGACCTGCAGCAGTGGGCGAGCTGGTTGACGAGGAGGTCGACCTGCACGGGGACCACTGCACGGGCGCCGACTTCAGGGTGGCGCCAACTTCGGGGAGGTCGACTTAGGAGTCGACCTGCGGAGGGCGTCAACTTCGTGACGCCGACTTCGGGTGGCCGACGTGGGTGGTCGGCCGACAACTGCGCTGGGCGACTTAGTGCTGGTTGACGTGGAGCTGGTCGACCAGAAGGGACGTCGACCGAGGGGCGTGGTCGTCCTGGTGAGGTCGACATGGAGGTGGTCGTCGACTTGGGAGGTCGACGGGCACGTACGGGAGCTGTTGGTCGACGTGGTTGCCCGGTCGACCAGGTTACCTGGGTGACGAAGTGCTGCGGAGGAGTGCGACGGTCGCCCAGGCGAAGTTGGCGAGCCCGACCTCGGTGGTGGTATCCCGAGGTCGTCGTGGCGGATCAGAAAGCAGTCGTCAGCGCGAGGTTGACGCGGTGTGTGCGATGTGCATGTGACGAGACTCTGCACGCCAATCATCTATGCGCACCTACGAAGCGGGTGCACTGCTGTCCTGCGTAAGCAATGCTGGCACGCCGTCAACCTGCGACGCTGGCACGCCGTCGACCTTGCCTTGCTGGAGCGCGGTCGGCCAAGTCGTGCTGGAACGCGGTCGACCAAGCTGCGTTGGCAGTTGGCCGACCTGAATGCTTGCTCTGATGTAGTCTTGCTATGCCAACTTCATTGTACCATTGTTCTGAACTTTTCCTAGTGGAACTCTTGCCAATTCTCCCCGTGAACTAGCAAGAAGCGTGAACACAAGGAAACGACTAAGTGAACGAACGCAGAGATCACACGAGCACCCGTGCCTAGCCCGTAGTCTAGCTCCCGTTGCAGCAGTTATCTCCGCACTGCCCCACCTTCTGCCCCACCTTGCCTTTCCTCTCTGTCTTGTTTGGCCCCTGACCCCCCCCTCTCCCCTCACCTCCAATCCAGCGACATAAGGGGTACGGGAATCACATGTCCATCAGTAGTAGCCCACCAACCGTGTGTGGTGTGGCAAACCTCCTCCTCTCAATTCTGCCTCACCTGCCCCGCCTTCTGCGCCAACTGCTCCACTGCAGGCCTGCCGCCCAAGCCAGGAAGGTACTGTCAGTCTGCCGTCCAAACGAGGTAATGTTGTAAAAAGGTAGCAAAGTAGGTAGTGCTCTGCCTTCTGCCGTCCAAACTTGTAATGTTGTAAAAAGGTAGCAAAGTAGGTAGTGCTCTGCCTTCTGCCGTCCAAATGAGGTAATGTTGTAAAAAGGTAGCAAAGTAGGTAGTGCTCTGCCTTCTGCCGTCCAACCGTTCCACTGCAAGCCTGCTGCCGAAGCAAGGTATACATTGCAACGAGGTGACTTTTGAGTCGACTTAAAAATCGAAGTAGGTAGTGCTCTGCTCTGCCTTCTGCGCCAACTGTTCCACTGCAAGCATGCTGCCCAAGCAATGTATACATTGTAACGAGGTTACTTTTGAGTCGAATCAAAAGTTAGAGTAGGTAAGGAGTCGTGTTTTGAGTCGACTTAAAAATCAAAGTAGGTAGTGCTCTGCTCTGCCTTCTGCGCCAACCGTTCCACTGCAAGCATGCCGCCCAAGCATGCCAAAGAGGGTACGCAACCTCTTGGTCAAAGCGAGGTTTCAGAAACGGGGATAAACTACCCCCGTGACTTGATGGGATTGAGTTCATCCCACCAACTTGCATGCTCTGCCTTCTGGGCCAACTGTTCCACTGCAAGCATGCCACCGAAGCAAGGTACCCATAGGTAGTAACTAAGAAGGTAACAGGGTAGCATTGTAACAATGTATCAATGCTGCAAATTAGCGAGGTAATATGGTTATGTTCTTACCCTATGCCCATGGTTATTCTCAAGCTACAAGGCTGTGTGCATTGCAGCGTGACTAGCAGGCTCTCTTTTCGTTTCCCAAGCAATCCCCTGCCCAAAGATCTAAACCGTGTGACATTGTTGCGAGTTGATTTTTGCTGCCACGTAAAGACTATGGCTCCCGTCTGGGGTTCCATCGTGACTAGCAGGCTCTCTTTTCGTCTCCCAAGCAATCCCCTGCCCAAAGCTCTAAACCCTGAACCTTGGCCTTGTTTTTACTGCACTGTTATCCCACTGCTTTAGGTGCAACCACAACCTCCCCCCCATCACCAACACCATCATCACCATCATCACCATCATCAATATCATTGTCACTATCTTCGGGCGAAACGCAAAACCCTTTAATAATCGGCATTGCGGTCGGCGTGGGTCTTCTGCTGCTTCTAGCCACACTCGGAGGGTGTTTGATGTTCAATGGTTACCCTAAAGGTGCGTTGAGAAGGGCTCTCTAGGCGTCTCAAACCTCTTTTCCTGCTTTTGGCTGCACTGAGGGGGAATTTCTTGTTCCATGAGCATTTCTTTTCTTGCCGATAAAGGTGAGTGCATCTAAGCAGGGTGTAGTTTGAGTCAACCCAAATAATTTCTGTTGTTCCGCGGGTGCCTTGGAGGTACGTTTATGAGGGGGCTGATTCTTATCGGCAATATTGCTACTGTGTGAGTCTAATTCGAACTATTTCTCTACCTGTTGCGCCGCATTGTTGAAAATTTTGTTTTCCCACGCCTACGTTGGCAGATACGCGTCCCAGGGTATAATACGCTAGCGTATTATACGCTACGCGTCCCAGGGTATAATACGCTAGCGTATTATACGCTGGGTATATACGCGGTAAGCCAGGGCTGGCGTACTGGTGATACGCAAAAATACGCTGGGCGGGCAGGTAAAACTTTTTTCCCGGGCCGGGCTAAAAAAACCTGTTTCAGGGGGGGGGATTGTTTTCCAAGAACACAAGTCATAATTTAAATTTCATAAATATCCAGAAATACATATTTGGGGCTACTTCTCCCCATACATCCCCACCCCACCCCACCCTCTAGCTAGCTTCCCCACAACCGATTTCCTTGCGGGGCTTTTCCACCACCACACCTTTCCCATACTCATCCGCCAGCACTGCATCCTCTCCATCCTCCCCCAGCATGTCATCCTCCTCCTCATCCATGTTATAGCTGGGGGGGATAGGGGCATCCGGGATGTTACCGGGCACAACCGTGCTGCCCCCATCCTTCTTGTACCAATTGCGCACAACGTTGAAATTGTGCGCAATGTAGACGAGGTCCGCACACTTGGCGGACCCAAGCCGGTTGCGGCGGGCGGTGTGGACGCCTTCCCACTGCGCCCAGCCACGCTCGCATGGGGAAGCCGAGACGGGCTGAGTGAGCACCCGGCATGCGAGGGCAGCAAGCTCAGGATACTCGGTGCTGTGCAACGACCACCACTGCACCATGCTCATCTCCCCCTTCTTCACTGCCTCCCTTGCAGAAATGGCGCCCGGCTTGCCAAAGCTGCCCTCCATGTTGATGTAGGCCAGCAATGCCTCCTGCAGCACAAGGGAGGCGCGGCGAGGGGCGCCATCCTTGCCACGCTTGAAAGTCTTGTTGTCATAGTGGCGCTCGATGTAGTCCTTGAACACCCGCGTGCACTCCACATCGTTCCTGAAAATTCCCTCCTCCTGGTTGGCCGGATTCAGGATCCGGCCAACCACATGCATGGGGCAGGCAAGGGAGTTGTCCCACCTGTCCTTCACAATCTTGGTGATGTCTGCCCTCTATGTCCGAGTCAAGAAGTCGCCTGAAGCGTCGAGCTTGTCATTGATGTCCTCGGTAAGCTGTAGCATAATGTCATACAACTTACCCATCATGCCTTTCGCGGAAGAGTCCGTGGCCCGCATGGCCTTGAATAGCACCGCCATGAGAGAGGTAAAGAACTCCGCCACCCCACACCACTCCTCATCCATCACAGCAGCCCTGAATTTCTCAGCTGCTGTCTTCCTATCCTTGTCCGCCGCTGCCCACACCTTCCACTCGTCGCTGAGCACCATCGCCGCCAGCCCACTCCTCACCTCACATAGCCGGGCCATGGCTATGTATTGTGTCCCGAACCTGGTTCCCGCAGGCTTGAGCACCTGCTTCCACCACTTGCTGCCGCCATCGGTGTAGACCGCCACCACATTCTCCGGCCCCTCCTTATCAATGACAGGGCGGAGAAGGCTGGCGATGTACCCCCCGGTCTTCGACTCCATGTTGCAGTCCACCGCCTGCTCGAAAACTACGCCGGAGTCGTTGACAAGGAGCACGTTGGCCTGGGGGCGGCCACAACGGTCGGTCATCATGTCCGACGACACCGTTACCCCGTCCCGCTTCCAGCTCGCGGCAACGGGGGCGAGCGCGACCTCCATTTTCTGCCGCACCTTCTTCAAGCCTGCCCCTCCAATGTAGCGCCTCTTAGGAGGGACGTACCCAGGTCCAGCGCGCGCAATGCACTGGACCGCGTAGCGGAAGACCGGATCGTCCGCAATGCACTCCGGAAGTTTCAGCGCCGCGAATAGAAGGCAAAGCGCGTTATCCGCGTCCTCCTTGGCGCACGTCGCCTCATTGCCAAAGAAATCCGTAATTTTGCTCTTTTTCTCCGGGTTTCCACTGACAGCATCAAGCGCGGAGTGAATTGCAGCAGCGGCCGCCCCTCGCTTCAAGTCCTGCTGTTCCGCCTTGGTCTCGTACATGCCACGGCGTGGGCGCGTCCTTGCATAACGCCACAGCGCGCTTCTCCTGCCCTTTCCATGTCACGAGATGGATTGCACAGCGGTTTGTTCCGCCCTCGAACTTCTTGCCACAGAACTTGCACAGCTTGGGGTTGCCTTTGGTGTGAAACGGAATGAGGAAATGTTTCAGAATGGGGTGAGATAGTCCAGCCTCAACAGGATCCGTGTTGACGGTAGTAGAGCCATGGACAGAGGCTGGATTGTTGTTCGTCGAAGTACTAGGAGCTGAGCCCGACGCCATGGCGCACTACGTAAGTCTAACTAACGAAGAAGAGTGGAGAAATGCGGGAAGGAAATGGAAGAGCATTTGCGCAACGTCGACCTATACGTGCAAACGATGGAAGAACATTTGAAGGGGGTGGTTGGGATTGAGAGGTTGGGTGGGGTGATGTGTGGTTGAGGGGGTGGGAAAGTTTGGATTTTGAAATTTGAAGTTCAGAAGTGGGGTTGGGCACATGAGCGAAGTTGCGGTAACACTTCGCGACTTCGCACATCGTCCCGAAGTTTCTCAATTTCGGATTTTTTTTTTCGCCGGGCTGCCCGGCCGTATTTTCGCGAATTCAGAGCGTATCAGCGTATCACGCATATACGCTAGCGAATATACGTGATACGCCAGCCTTTCAAGAGCGTATCTGCCAAAGTAGTCCCACGCACGCGCACGCACACGCGCGCGCGCACACACACACACACACATGCTTGTTGTGCAGGCAAGACGGATTTCTGGAGCATGCTGGGCCAGAGGGCCACGTGCTAACGGTACACCCTCAAGCAAGTCAAGAAGGCAACTCGGGGGGTTAAGCAAAGGAGAACCACATGTGTGCCCAACTCTCCCCTTCCATAAACTATCGGATTGTGCAGGCAAGCCAGACTTTTGGAGCATGCTAGGCCAGAGAGCCACATGCCAGCGGTATTCCCTCAAGCAAGTGAAGAAGGCAACTGGGAGCTGGGCAAAGGAGAACCTGATTGGGTCAGGAGGGTACGGGGAGGTGTATCGAGGGGTGTGCCCACACGAACCCACCATGGTGTGGGCTGTGAAGCGCGCCAAAATACTCACCAACGACTTCAAACGAGAAATGTGTGTTTGTGGTGTGGTGTGGTGTGGTGTGGTGTGGCATGGTGTGTCTGGATGACCTTTTGATGGTGTGGGTTGTGAAGCGCGCCAAGATACTCACCAAACGAGAGGTGTGCAGCGGGAGTAGATGTTTGGGAAGGTGGGGTTAAAGTGAATGGGCATCCTTTTATCTCCCAGAAATCTCCCTTCCTCCCCTTGTAGAGGTGGAGGAGATGGCATCAAAGAGCCCATGCGTAGCATGAAATCGCACACAAGTCACATCTTCCCTCTATGGAATCGCACACAAGTCACATCTTCCCTCTATGGAATCGCACACAAGTCACATCTTCCCTCTATGGAATCGCACACAAGTCACATCTTCCCTCTATGGAATCGCACACAAGTCACATCTTCCCTCTATGGAATCGCACACAAGTCACATCTTCCCTCTATGGAATCGCACACAAGTCACATCTTCCCTCTATGGAATCGCACACAAGTCACATCTTTCCTCTTATTTTCCTTCTTCTTTACCCATGTAGGTGGAGGAGATGGCATCAAAGAAGAGCCCATGTTTTTAGCATGTCATTGCATGTCATTGCATGTCAATGCATATCACTGCATGTCATTGCATGTCATTGCATGTCATTGCATGTCAATGCATATCACTGCATGTCATTGCATGTCATTGCATGTCATTGCATGTCACAGTTTCCCACCCTTGCCTGCTTCCCCTCTTTTCCTCCCCACCGAGCAAGTGGAGGAGATGGCATGAAAGAGGCGCAATAGTCTCACGAGTTTCACTGCCCGTCACGTCTTTCTTTCCTCATCCCCTTGGTCCCGTCACAGGTGGAGGAGATGGCATCAAAGAGCCATCCGCACTTGGTGCGGCTACTGGGGTACTGTGTGGACATGGATATGGTGACAAGCCAGCTCGAGCAGATCGTCATCTATGAGTTCTGCCTCAATGGGGACTTGGAGAAGTATCTGAGTGGGGGTGAGTGGTGTGGCAGAAGTGGCATGATGAGTGTTCTTGCGATGGAAAAGTTGTGGTTTGTTTGTTTGTTTGTTTGTTTTTTGTCCCACTTGTCGTACTGGATATGGTGATGAGGTGGTGCAATATATGATGTGAACGACAAATTGGTCCGCTTTGTTCCTTCACCATGCGCCATCCTTCTGTGCCTCTGCCATTGTAACGAGGTAACTTATGGGCCAACTCAAATGTCAAATTGGTCCGCTTTATTCCTTCAACACACACGCCCATCCGTGCCTCTGACCCTCGTCTCGCCATCCTTCCCAGGCCCAAGGAAAGGCAAGCTTATCATGCAGCAGCGCATGCATGTGCCAGTTCAGCTCATCCTGAACCCCCCTTCTTGACGTGTGTGCCTTCCCTCACCAACGGCAGGTGCTCGGGAGGGAGAGCTGACGCTGCAGCAGCGCATGGATGTGCTGGTGGGGGTGGCAGTAAACAATAAACAACACTAACCTCTTTCTTACTGCTTGCGTTGCAGGTTCTCGGGAGGGAGAGCTGACGCTGCACCAGCGCATGGATGTGCTGGTGGGGGTGGCGCGGGGGTTGGAGTACCTCCACCAGTTTGACATCGTGCATCGAGACATCAAGCCCGCCAACATGCTGCTCGACGCCCGCATGCAGGTGAGGTGTGAGTAGGGTGCGATGGTTCAGTGCGGTGTATTGCGGTTGTGAGCGGTGGGTGCGGTTGTTGAGTGTGGAATAGTTCGTTTATGAGGGGGGGTGGGTGGTGCGGGGGTTCGAGACATCAAGCCCGCCAACGTGCTGCTCGATGCCCGCATGCAGGTGAGGTGTGTGTAGGGGTGCGATGGTTGAGTGCGGTGTAGTGCGGTTGTGAAGGGGAGGGGGGGTTGCGATGGTTGAGTGTGGTTTGGTGCGGTTATGAGGGGGGGTGGGTGGTGCGGGGGGTTAGAGACATCAAGCCCGCCAACGTGCTGCTTGATGCCCGCATGCAGGTGCGATGGGCAGGGAACATGAGACAGCCGTTACCATTACACCGTTACCATTACACCGTTACCATTACACCGTTACCATTACACCATTACCATTACACCGTTACCATTACACCGTTACCATTACACCGTTACCATTACACCGTTACCATTACCCCGTTACCATTACACCGTTACCATTACACCGTTACCATTACACCGTTACCATTACACCGTTACCATTACACCGTTACCATTACACCGTTACCATTACACCATTACCATTACACCGTTACCATTACACCGTTACCATTACACCGTTACCATTACCCCGTTACCATTACACCGTTACTATTACACCGTTACCATTACACCGTTACCATTACACCGTTACCATTACACCGTTACCATTAGACCGTTACCATTACACCATTACCATTACACCGTTACCATTACACTGTTACCATTAGACCTTTACCATTACACCGTTACCATTATACCGTTACCATTAGACCGTTACCATTAGATCGTTACCATTAGACCGTTACCATTACACCGTTACCATTACACCGTTACCATAAGATCGTTACCATTACACCGTTACCATTACACCGTTACCATTAGACGTTACCATTACACCGTTACCATTAGACCGTTATCATTACACCGTTACCATTAGCCCGTTACCATTACACCGTTACCATTATACCGTTACCATTACACCGTTACCATTACACCGTTACCATTACACCGTTACAATTACACCGTTACCATTACACCGTTACCATTACACCGTTACCATTACACCGTTACCATTACACCGTTACCATTACACCTTTACCATTACACCGTTACCATTACACCGTTACCATTACACCGTTACCATTACACCATTACCATCAGACCGTTATCATCAGACCGTTACCATAAGACCGTTACCATTACACCGTTACCATTAGACCGTTACCATTACACCGTTACCATTACACCGTTACCATTACACCGTTACCATAAGACCGTTACCATTACACCGTTACCATTAGACCGTTACTATTAGACCGTTACCATTAGACCGTTATCATAAGACCGTTACCATAAGACCATTACCATTACACCGTTACCATTACACCGTTACCATCCGTTACCATTACACCGTTACCATTACACCGTTACCATTACACCGTTACCATTAGACCGTTACCATTAGACCGTTACCATTAGACTGTTACCATTAGACCGTTACCATTAGACCGTTGCCATTAGACCGTTGCCATTTGACCGTTCCCATTAGACCGTTCCCATTACACCGTTACCGTTACACCGTTACCGTTACACCGTTACTGTTACACCGTTACCGTTACACCGTTACCGTTACACCGTTACCGTTACACCGTTACCGTTACGGTTAGACCGTTACTGTTAGACCGTTACCGTTAGACCATTACCGTTAGACCGTTACCATTACACCGTTACCATTACACCGTTACCATCAGACTGTTACCACTACACCGTTACCATTAGACTGCTACCATTACACCGCTACCATTAGCCCGTTACCATTAGACCGTTACTATTACACCATTACCATTACACCGTTACCGTTACACCGTTACCATTACACCGTTACCATTACACCGTTACCATTAGACCGTTACCATTAGACCGTTACCATTAGACCGTTACCATTTATACCGTTACCATTACACCGTTTCCATTACACCGTTACCATTAGACCATTACCATTAGACCGTTACCGTTACACCGTTCCCGTTACACTGTTACCGTTACACCGTACCGTTACACCGTTACCGTTAGATTGTTACCATAAGACCGTTATCATTACACCGTTACCATTAGCCCGTTACCATTACACCGTTACCATAAGATCGTTACCATTACACCGTTACCATTACACCGTTACCATTACACCGTTACAATTACACCGTTACCATTACACCGTTACCATTACACCGTTACCATTACACCGTTACCATTACCACCACTACACCGTTACCATTACCACCACTGCACCGTTACCAGTACCACCACTGCACCGTTACCATTACCACCAGCACTACTTGAGCTCACCAGCACAACCGCCTCAGCTGTGGGTTCCCCTTGGCTGCGTCCTCTGCCACCTTCTTTAGCTTCTCTGCTGCGTCCGACAGGTTCACTGCAGTAGGGCGGCTGGGAGGCGACAAGGGGGGAGAGAGAGGAGTGTGTGAGAGAGAGACCAAGGGGAACACGTGAGCGCATATGGTCCTGTTTGATCTTCTCTGCCGAGCGGAGTGGTCGAGAGCAGCCCAGGCGGTGGTTGGCTGGTGCGGAAGTGCTCGGAATGTTGTGTCCGCCATCATCGAGAGTGGAATAGCTCACCTGGACACGAACACGGTAGTCGAGGCTATCGGTGGTGTGCTTCACGGAATCGAACACGCTGTGCACCTCCACTCGAATGCCAGCGCCAGCGCCTTTTGAGGCGGCCACGGTCAAACAAGCACGCACCTGGAGGCGAGGTAGTCAAGGCTATCGGTGGTGTGTTTCACGGCTGCATCAGCACTCTCGAACACGCTGTGCTCGAATGCGCCTCCACTGCCAGCGCCAGCGCCTATTGAAACTCCTACAGTCAGAAACACACACGCGCCTTGGCACGAGGTAGTCAAGGCGTTCAAGAATGTGCTTCAAGGAGTGACTGAAGCTCACTAACTGGAGCTCACTGGCTGGAGCTCACTGACTGGAGCTTACTGACTGGAGCTCGCTGACTGGAGCTCACTGACTGGAGCTCACTGACTGGAGCTCACTGACTGGAGCTCACTGACTGGAGCTCACTGACTGGAGCTCACTGACTGGAGCTCCCTGACTGGATCGTTCGTGGAGTTGACGACTTTTGAGAATTCTTAAAAGACGGAGACTTCATGCCGTTCATGTCTGAACCGTTTAAATATTCATGTCTTTACCACACAAATGACGGTATGCCGTTTTGTCCCTCATTCCGTTCTCCTTTCTTCCACACCGGGCGACGGTATGAGAATCTGGCCTCGAGCGCATGACAGAATTGATGTGACTTCTCAAATCATCCCTCTACCCACCGCCCCCTAACACAGGCGAAGGTGTCGGATTTCGGGTTGGTGCGCATGACAGAAGGTACCACAGTGAATCCCACCCGAGTGGTCGGCACTCCGGGCTATGCGGACCCCGCTTACTCGCGCACCAACAAGGCCACGCCCATGGCTGACGTTCATAGGTGCGTTGCCCTTTCCAAGAAAGAGTGGTCCTTTATACACTTCCATGAAAGAGTGATTCGTTTTCTCATGAACTGGTTTGTCTCTGGATGTGCTTCTCTCATCAAACAAACAACACTTCCATCCTAACTTTTCGGGTTTAGGGTTTAGGGTTTAGGGTTTAGGGTTTAGGGTTTAGGGTTTAGGGTTTTAGGGTTTAGGGTTTAGGGTTTAGGGTTTAGGGTTTAGGGTTTAGGGTTTAGGGGTTTAGTGCACCGCCCTCCCACCCTCCTCCCGCCCATCAATTTCCGACGTTGTACGGCAACTCGAAACCCTAAAAAGGGAACACCTGAGCAGGAGCCACGTGGAGGATGGTGGTGCTGGTGGAGCCGATCTTGCTGACGTGGACCATCGTGTGGCTCAGATCGACCAGAAGCTCGACAGGCGGGCCGAGTCGATCCAACGGTTGGATAATCTGTCGGAAATCGGAACTTACCACCAAGGGGGTTCTGGGGCATTAGTGAGCGCTGCTAGCGAAATTGGTACCGGTACTTACCGAGGGGATTCTTCTTGGGCTGTAATGGACATCAATAGTTCCCTAGATGTCTCTGCTGCTTCTTCCAGAAGCATCGGGTATGTGGTAGGGGTGTTTGGTGGTACCTCTACTGGTTTAGGGGCACCCAAGAGTCGCAACACCTGTATAGAACACTGACCTTCCACGTCTTTCAGCTTCCAGCTTTGAGCTTCTAGCTTCAACATGTGTCGTCAGTTTTCCAGAAGAGTGTTACCCTGCTTAGCAGGCCATTCCCACTTGTGGGCGTGATGCACCTCGAAGCAGGCCCCACGTTATCAGGGCAAAACATCCTGATTACCCTGAATCCAGGATGTAGTTTTAAATTTACCCTGTCATTTCAGAATAGTGTAAATTTTAACCCTGAGGCCTCAGGATGTTTTTATATGAAATACCCTGAACATTCAGAATGGCTGTAGTGTTCTTCCTTGTAGCGTCAGGATGAATGCCGAGGCCTGCCCTGACGCGTTTTTTGGTGGGGGGGAGGGGGGGGGGGGGGGGGGGGATCGTGGCAAAATTGTCGGTAACCGCTGAATCAACCATCTAGACATCCAGAAATGGCCTAGGCAGTAGAAAGCTACTTCCGAGAGATGAGGTCTTCGGATCGAACCCACCCCGTGCAGGCAAATTTGCAGCTTCAACCTGGCTTGCCGACCAACTAATGTGAACCCTGAACGCTAATATTATTGCCCTGACAGGCCAGGATATTTTTTTTGTAGAAGCCCTGAAATTACAGGAAGCCTCCGAAAAGTTGCCCTGACAAATCAGGGCATTTTTTCAGATTCTGGAAAGTTGCCCTGAGGCCTCAGGATGCCCCAAAACCTAGCACAGGCCCTGCCTCGAAGTTTGCCTTTTTCTGTAACCAGCAGCTTTTTCTTCTCAGTGATTGCTCTGTTTGTGGGAGGAGAGAAGGCGTTCAGGTGGTGCCTTTTGAGGTTGGTTTTTTTAGATCTCAATTCGGTACATCACAGCTGGCTGGACATCCCTCTGGCGCATTCATGAGTGAGTAAAACAACAGTAACAAAAAGAACTACACTACACAAGTGCTGCGGTACGTGCAAACCCAAGCAGCAAACTAGGCTCTACTGCTTGCTCCATTCCCCACATCCCTGTGCATTTCTAAGCTCATTCGCTACACTCATTTCGAATCGGTGAAATCGGGATCAATCACATCATTGGGGTTGCCGCCAGCAGCACTGCCAGGAGCAGCACCAGGAGCAGCACCATCAGCACCGGGGGCCCCTCCTTGAGAGTAAACCGTTTGACCAAGCTGCATGGGATACGAGGCACACAACACAACAACAGTAGCACATTCTAAGTGAGAATCAGGCGACAGGCAACTAAGCACACGAAGTAGGCACCCAGACTCATCCGCCCAGACTCATCCGCCCTAGTCATCTTTGGCATATTCATCCCATGCTCAATTCTCAGTCAAAAGTTCCTAACCGCAAACCTTCCCGTCACTCCCCCCATTAACACACCATGGCACCACACACATCACCTCACACCCTCACGCTCAAGCACCTTTACATCTCCCATCCGCCACAGGTCTTAATCGCCAGGATGTTATCACCTCCGCAGGAACCTTCTCGGCAAGCTCCTTGAGCTGCTTCTCCGTCTGGTAGATCATGGAGTCAGCCTGGTTCTTCACATCCACAGCCTCTCTCTTCTCCTTGTCCTCCGCTGCGTATTTCTCCGCCTCCTCAACCATCTTGGCTGCTGAGAGCGTATATGCCCTCTATACTCACCATGCGCGACTTGGGCACGTTCACTTCTCTGCGAGGGAGGGAGTGGAGTGAAATGGTGTGGAGAGGAGTAGGGCGAGGTTGGGCAAGAAAGAGCTACAATATGTGATGTTTCAGAGCCTTCACTTCAATGAGAAGGGCTAGACTAGGAGATGAGACAGTACGGGTGTGCAATGGTTTACGGAAGGAGCTGTCCCCTTCAACCCTGTCCCAGGGAGCCTGCCTCCACCTCACTTGCAAGCACCCCTCTCTCACTTCCTCCTCAAAATCTCTTCTTCCGCACCTGAACCCCACTCGCGTGCCGCACTTGAAGTCGCATGTCAGCACCTGCACTGTGCGTGCGACCCTGTCCATCGCAGGGAGCCGGCACCTATCTCATCTCACGGACTCACACTCACATGTATGCACTCATCTCTCAATTCCTCTCACCTGAACCCCACTCGCGTGCTGCACTTGAAGTCATACATAGGCACCTGCACGGTGCACCGCTGTCCCAGGGAGCGTTACCCCGCCTCACACTCAGATGCATGCACCCATCTCTCTCTTCTTCCTCACCTTCTCTTTCCCCGCACCTGAACCCCACTCGTGTGCTGCACTTGAAGTTGTATATCGGCACCTGCACTGTGCGTGCGACCCTGTCCCATCCCAGAGAGCCTGCACCTACCTCACTTCCCCCTCACCTAATCCCCACACGCGGCGCACTTGAAGTCGTAAATCTGCACCTGCACTGTGCCCCCTGTTCCGGGGATCCTGCCCCTATCTCACACTCGCATGTATGTATGCACCCATCTTTCACTTCCTCTTCACCTTCTCTTCCTCGTCCCCCTCACCTGAACCCCACGCGCGTGCTGCTCGAAGTCGTGGATCGGCACCTGAACCGTGCGCCTCTCACATGCACCCCTCCCACTTCCTCCTCCCCTTGAATTCCCCCTCACCTGAACCCCACGCGCGTGCTGCTCTTCAAGTCATAGATTGGCACCTGCACTGTGCGCCCCTCCCTCAGCCCCCGGCGCCAGACGGGCCCGCGAGTCCCACCAGCACCATGCCTTCGTTGTTCTGCCAAGGCAGGCACGTACGGGCGGGAGGTACGGGAGGGAGGTACGGGCGGGAGGTACGGGAGGGAGGTACGGGCGGGAGGTACAGGGAGGTACGTCAGCGATGAGGTCAGCGATGGGGTCAGCGCGATGGGGTTTCGTCGAGATTCAGAACGTCGATGAGGTCGACAGCTAAGATGGCGAGCCATACGAAGTGGAGAACTTCCGGGTAACAATTCGCAAACGGGTAACAATTCGGAAAGCAATCTAGGAGGAAACGATGGTCTATCGTGCGCGAATCTTTGAGCTGACAGTTGCACTGACGGTAGGCGATTACGCTGATCGTTGCGCTTATTGCTGAGCTGACGGTTGCGCCAGACATTTCGCGGATCGTTGCGCTGGTTGTTGCGCTGATCACTAAGCTGATAATCTCGGTGATAGCTGCGCTGATCGTTGCTGGCGTTAATTGTTACTATCAGTTGCACTGATAGCTGCGCATCATCCTACACCTCTCCTGAACAATGGAACGAGCTTCTACGAATGCGTGATCCACGATCACCGTCGATTATCAGTGAAATGACCTCCGTCGAACCTCAAACTATGGAGTATGGACTATCGAACTTCGAACAGCTGTATTTGCATATTTTAGCGATTTGGCTATTTCAGTAGCTAATTCAGCCATATGCTTCACCTACCGATTTAAGTTGTTAACAGTACAAGGACTTCAGAGAGTTTTATACTAATATAAAGAGTTACAAGTCAGAACCGAGAGGTTTCTAAGCTAAGCTTTCTAAAGCTGCCGAAGCTAGGTGTAACAGCTGCACTTGCAACTCCATAGCAGCGACTCCGTAGCAGCGCCTCCAGAGCATCTTGAGCGATCAGCTTGATCCACTTGCGCCTCCACGGCAGCAGCTTGGCCTTCTTCTTGACCCCTCTTGGCCGTCAGAGGCAAATGCCCCTGACGTTACACCCACGCACCTCGATGAGGTGAGGGTCATTCGCGTGGGGTCTGCTTGGGAGGGAGGGAAGGAGAGGGGGAAAGTGCTTGGGAGGGGGGGAACGGTCAAAATTAGAAACGGGCAGATAAACAAATAAACATCTTGGATCGGACGTATGTCAGAATGTTGTCAGAATGACGGCCAGCCGTCAAGAGGACGACCAGCCGTCATGAGGCATACCTGAACACACCTGAACCCATACTATCGCCCATGTGTGTGCCTAAATCGAGTGCCTAGGCTAACGCTCCTAATCGTCCTGTACCCAGCACCACACCTCTTACAGGCCTGACGCTCACGGTGGTTGATCCCGTTCCCGCCAAATCTGCTTTGCAGAAAAGGGCGGGATGCGAGGGGAAGTCAAACTCCTCCGACCTCGCTCCAACTCCTCGCTCCAGCCACCTCCTCGCTCCGCAATCCACGTTTGTGAAGCCTCCTCGAGACGCCTGCACCACAGACGACAACAAGAAGGACTTCAGATATTTTGAAAGCGAAACGGCATAGAGCAGCGCGAAAGGCGACAGCGAAGTCGACGAGCAGAAAGGCGACGAGCAGAAATGCGACGAGCGAAAAATTGACGACGGGACGAAAGAGACCATTTACAGCAGAGAGAAGTGCCTGCACGCACCGTGCGCCGCGGTGCGCCGTGCTCCGCCGATGCCCCGCCGCGCGCGCATAAGACGTCCCCGAAGAAGCGTCGCCACGCGGCCCGCGAGCTCCCATCCGCGCATCGCCTGCGCTAAAGAAGAACGCACACAAAAATAAGTTAGATACTTTGAAAAGGAGAAAAACTTCAATGAAATCGACGAAACTTACCAGGCAAGGGAGACCACATCCCCGTGTTACGTCCTTTGCTCGCCGTTGTCCCCGCGAGCTCCCACCCGCCTCTGCCGCTGCGCTAAGAGAGAGCAACAGACAGAAAAGGTTAGTTTCCGAAATGAAGAAAAAACTTAATGAAATTGACGGAACTTACCAGAGAAGAGGAGAGGGAGAGCTAACTCTCCTTTACCTCCCTCACTCGCTGTAGTTGCTGCCGTATTGCCTGCTCCTCCTACTGCACTAAGAGGAACACGACAAAAGGAGTTAGATATCCGGAAAAGGAAGCAGCAAAACGAGATGAGACAATTCTTACCTTGAGGAAGCAAGCCGCCGGGGCTTTTACCGTTGAAGTGGAACTTCGGTGTAGTCGTTGCCGCCGGATGGGGCAGTGCAGCGGGAGGTGTGCGGAGAGGGAATGGGCTGGGGCTACCCTTCCCCCTCCGCCGCCCCGCTCGCACAACCCCGACGCTTCTTGTCTTGCTTGAGTTCTTGAAACACTGCCCACACATGGCGATGCCACACGTCACGGCACCAAGGCGGAGAGGAGCGGAAATTGACGAGCAGAAAGGCGACGACGGGACGAACAGCAGAGAGAAGCGCCGCCAAGCGCCGTGCTCCGACGCGCCGCGCCGCGATGCGCCGCCGCGCGCCCGTGAGGCGTCCCGGAAGAAGCGTCGCCACGAGTTCCCTCCCACCCGCTTCCGCTGCGCTAAGAGAAAGGAACACACAGATAGAAATTAGTTTCATAATCAAGGAAAAAGCTTAAACGGAATTAGACTGCACTTACCAGGCAAGGGAGAGAACCTCCCCCCCGTTACCTTGCTCGCCGCCGTCCCCGCGAGTCCCCACTCCCGCTTCCGCTGCGTTAAGAGAAAGGAACACAAAGATAGAAATTAGCCTCACAAACAAAGGAATAACTTAACGAAATAAGACGGTGCTTACCATGAAAGCCGCTCGGGCTTTTACCGTTGTAGTCGTTGCTGTAGGAGGTCGTTGACGGTCGTTGACGGTCGGTGTAGTCGCTGTCGCCGGATGGGGCAGTGGAGCGGGAGGGGGGGCGGAGAGGAACGGGCTGGGGCTACCCTTCCCCCTCCGCCGCCACCCTGCCCCAACCCCGCTCGCACAACCCCGCAGACTTGTCTTGCTTGAATCACTGCTCACACATGGCGATCCCACACGTCATGGCATCACGGCAGAGAGTAGACGAGCGCGAAACGAAACGAAACGAGAGAAGACGAAACGAAATGCGACGGCGAGACGACGAGACGAAAAAGAAATGTTACACCGCGCAGCGCCGCCGAGCGCCGTGAGACCCGCGCCTTCGCCCGCGGGTCACGCCTTCGCCCGTGAGACGCGCATTGGCCCGTGAGACACGCCTTCGCGGCCCGTGAGTCCCGTCTTCGCCGCGAGACACGCCGTGCGCCATTCGTCGCCATGCAACGCCACGCAGCGCGTCCCCATGCGTCGCCACCGACGGACCGTCCCGTGCCTCTGCAAGTGCGAATAAGAGCCGTCAGTACGAACGAAACGAAATCGTTGGGAAGGAGAACGAGAGAAAACTGCAGGAAATGTCCTCGCACGTTACCTCAGCTCGCGCGAGGCGCTACTAGTAGCGAATCGGAGAGATCCGCTACCGTCGGCGACAGACGAAGTGAGACACGCCATCGATGCCGTCCGCTTGCGACGTCGCCGTCCGCTCGCGACGTCGCCGTCCGCTTGCGACGTAGAGTGAGACACGCCAATCGTCGCAGCCAAGCGCCGTGAGTCCCGCCCGTCGCCATGTGGTATTCCGTCACCATATGTTTCTGCAGGAAGCAAACGAACAAGTTAGAACGTGCAATTTAAAATCATGTAAACTGAATTGCCACAAAACTGCATGAAGGGTCCTTAGCGCGTCACCTCGGTTCGAGAGAAGCTGCTGGGTAGGCCGCCGCCGTTCCCTCGCGACGGTAGAGTCCTCCTCGCCGTCGCCTCGCTGACGGCAGTAGACACCTCTCCTCCAACGGTGGTAGAGTCTTCGTCTTATTCCGCCAAGACGGTCGCCGAGTTCTGCAGGGACAAAGGCAGCACTTTAGTAATGAGAAAATAAAGCGAGAATGACGAGAAGTTAACTTCACAACGGGAAAGGCAGCACAGCGGGAAGTTACAATCTTTACCGCAACGTCTAACCGAACGGCGAACGCTTCATCTCTTCGCATCTCGATGACGCAAATCTCGTCGGCGTTTCCCGGCACGTCCGCGAGGCCTCGCGACTTGCGCCAACGGCGATGGTAACGACAAGGACGACACGGATCCGTTGGCGAGGCCTCGCGACTTGCGCGTGGTAACGGCGATCATCACTTGGGCTTGAGCGCGTCCCGTCCCAAGCTTGAAGCGCAATAGAAGCGCCAACGACGGTAGATAGAAGCTCTCATCCGGTATTGACGTGCCGCCGAAGCGCCTCCCCGACCAGAAACGCCGTTCAGCTTGATAAGAAGGTTGTCTGCAGAAAGGCAAGAAGAGCGCGTTAGAAGGAGAAATGGATTGAAAAAAAAAGTCGAGCGGTTTTGAGCTGATCTGAAGAAGAGGTAGTTTTTACCTCCACACTTGACGCTCGCTTGGATAAGTCTTCGCGGCTGAAGCCTCCGCGATTGAAGCCTCCGCGGTTGAAGCCTCCGCGGTTGAAGCCTCCGCGGCTCCAGCGCAATTGAAGCGAACGCCGCGGTTGATAAGTCTTCGCGTCGCCAAGATGGTCGCAAGGATGGTCTGCAGGAAGAAAAGAAAAAGTTAGAGCTGAACGTTTCAGAGAAATTAGGAAACGTAGAGCTGAATCTGGATCTAGTCAATTAAGAAGACGAAGCAAAGTTAACCCAACCCCAACGGCAAGGACCCGTTGGCGACGGTCGAAGCGCCATCGGCGACGATAGTTGGCGAGGCTCCGGCTTTCGGGTCGAAAGCTCCAAGATTGAGCTTTTAGGTCGAAGCGCTAACGGCGGTCGAAGCTCCTATCCGCGTCCGGCTTGATTTGGGGTCTGAAGCGCCTCCCGCAGTCCAGGTGGACTTGGGCTTCAGGTTTTTGAGTTTAAAGTGCTACCCCCCGCGATTGATAGCGACTAGAAGGTCGTCTGCAGAAAACGTAGAGCGAGTTAGAGATATGCTCGGAAACACGTTAAAAGAAATTGCAGAAAGAGATTGCAGAAGTCGAATGATCGGTGGTTCACTTACCTCGAGTCCGCCGACTCTGTCGGGTAGGCCGTCTTCGTGTTGGCGTGAAGCTTGGGTCAGATCTTGAGGTCTGAGCCTGAAATCGTCGCCGTGTCGCGGTGTTGTAGACGGCTCAAGTGTGAGTGTCGGCACTTCAAAACTCGTCAAGACGGTCGCCACGAGGTCTGCGGGAAGAAAGCAGCAGGTCAGTACTTGAAAAATGTTGAACGACATAGAAGCTTAACCGGCGAAAAACGGTTTCAGGAACAAGTTGAAATAAATTTGCACTTACCTCCAGTCCGCTGTCCTCGTGTTGGTTGGAAGATTGGGTCAGATCTGAGCCTGAAATTGTCGCCGTGTCGCGGTGAAACCGGTCTTGTAGAAGGCTCAAGCGTTAGCGTCCACGCTTCAAGTATTGGCGTTGGCACTTCAAGAGGTCTGCGGGAGGAAAAAAACAAATTAGGACTTGAACTATGTTGAAACAATCAGAGCTTAACTTGTCGAAATCGGTTGCAGCAAGAAGTTGAAAATAATGGACTTACCCTCTCCGTCTAGCTGGGTGGTCTTCGTGCTGGTGAAGATCTAGTGGGTGAAGACCTTGAAGTGAAGATCTTGGCGTAAAGATCTTGGAGTGAAGATCTTGCCTTGAAGATCTTGCAGGTGAAGAGCTTCATGAAAACCGGGTGTCGTAGACGGCTCAAGTCTCATTGTCGACGCTGCGAGTCTCGCGAAGTTGGTTGCAAGAGGTCTGCGGGAGGAAAACAACAGATTAGCAGCTGAACAATGTTGAATAAATTAAAGCTTAACCTGATAAAAATGGTTGCAGCATGAAGTTGAAAAGAAAAAAGGACATACCGTCTGGTGAGACTTGTCTTGACGGCAGCAAAGAGGAAGGCCGCGCCAGCAGGGGAGGCTCCATGCGACACCTGAAGCTCTTGAAGCTCTTGCAGCAGCGATCTTGGAGCGGAGTGATTTCGCCATCAAGATCTCGCTGTGAAGATATCGCCGTGGAAGTGTTTGGCAGAGAAGATCCCGCCATGCAGATGTTGCGGTGATATCTTGTATTTGTCGCGGTGAAAATATTTCCGCGAAAACCCGGTTTTGTAAATGGTTCAGCCTTAGGCACTTGGCAGCTCGCTCAGACTCGACTCTAATCTACCCAACCCACCCCATCCACGCTAATCTACACGAGACTCTAATCTACGCGACCTCACGCTGCTTCATGCCTAGGCTTTCCCCATTTACTAGCCGGGTGGCTCAGATAGCTTTGGTTTGCTCCGAGGTAAGTCGGAAGTCCAAAAAGAGTTCAGTAAGTTGGAGCTTCACTGGAATTCCTTGATTGATTTCGCGAAGGAAAAAACTGGGCCATGAATGGGACTTTACAGAGCAGAAGTGAGAGCGAGGAGGATGAAGTATGGTTCGGTGCCGCGGATGAACGAATTCAATTCAACGAAAACCTGGGAGCCTGTTGTTTAGCGGCGCTACGGCGCGAAACAGTGCTGTTCCAACCCAGATGTGATGGGTCAACGCAGTAAGAAGTGGCTGAAAGTAATCCCTGTCAGGATGGGTCAATCCACAGTGGCGAATTCAAAATCCCCGCCTAGAAGTTGCATTGACAGCATTGGCGGCTTCACAAAACAGCCCGAGTCGCATGGGTTGGCAATGTGAGGCGGCCCAAACTTCTGAACCGACCCCAACCAGCCCAAGCTGTACACCTCTTTCACAAACTGACTGATTTTTAAATTCTGGTTTGTGTTTGCTCTTTCTGCAAACGAATCTGCTGAGGGCGCATATTGTGTTGGAGAGGTTGGTTGAGGGCTGTGGGTTTGTGCTAGGGCAGGCTTGAACTTTCTAAGAGGTAGTGGACGTGGCGCTTTTCTAAATTATATCGAGTTTTTTGCCTGAGTTTGGCGTAAGGTGCGGGACGGCGGAGGGATAGTTAGGACTTTCCAGCGTGGCGCGGAAAGTTTAGGCTGTTTGCGCAAATTAATTTGCCCCTACGAACCTTACCTGGGCAGCTGAAAATACAAATGTGATCGTGAAGGCATTTCGCAAGCCAATAGCAATGAAGTGTGTTTCCACGGCAGCACGGAATATTTCTGGCACCCTTCCGCAAACACCAAGGCATACCCAATCTCACATTTCCTTTCTCCAACCTCTCAATTCCTATTTCCACCTGCCATACCTAATTCTTAGCTTGGTCTCTCCCTCCATATTCCAGTTCACTGTTCTTAGCTAGTTCTGTCAGATCTAGGTAGCGAACATTAGTCCTCCCGTCAGCGAGCATAACCTACCGTTCATTTTCTTACTGTCGCTTATTTGTTCTCGCTGAATCAGAGTTAGTTACTAGAATGTGGAGCCTCAGGTCTTGTTCACGGTAGCTTCAAGTTAGATCTCAGCACCGTAGCTAGTTTCGATAGCGCTTTCAGTCGTACTTCCGTATTCTACGCTTCACACATCTAGTGCGGTAACTACTGCCGAATCGTAGGAAGTTACTGCTATTTGCTCTCTCCAGATTTGAGCCAGTTTTTGTAAGACTTGACGATTTTTGTAACGCATCTACGCCTGGAGTATCAGCGTCGATTTGCGGTCACATTCGAAACATTTATTTATAGAGGCCGTTTTTAGTCAATATATATATATATACATATATATATATATATATAAGCGGAGACATTTGTAATGTTTATTCAGGGAGACATATCGTGCAAACGCATAGATACAACCGCTGATCGTTGCGCGACAGTGGAGAAAGGGATGCCGGGAGGGAGATGAGAGGTAAGCGAGCGGAGGGAGGGGGAATGGACGGGCGAAAGTCCTTATTGCGGCGCTTAAGGGGAATCAAAAAGGAGAGGACTGGCGAGAGTGACAGGCGGAGTGGCCTATTTCTCCTTATTTTTCCCTTTTCCCTCCCTTAGCTTTCCTCCACATACCCCCACTTCCCCTGACTTTGCGTAGAAACGTCACGCATCCCTTATTCCCACCTCTCTCCCTTCGTGACACCCAAGCTGTCTCCTCTATTCCCCGTTCTCCCCTCATCTACCCCGCTCTCCCCTCCTCTCACCCCCTCTCTCCTTCCTCTTCCCCCCCTCTCCCTGCACTCCCCTGCGTGCATCGCTTATCTTCCCCCGTGCACTTGCTCCTTTTTTTTGCACACCCCCCCTCTCCATCTCCCCTCCGCTCACCCCTCATTCCAGCCCTCTCCCCCTCCCCTCCTCTTCCCCCACCCCCCACGCACCCCTCATCTCCCTCCCCCCCTCTCCCCTCCCCGCCCACCGCCCCCTCATCACCCCTTGCAACCATGACTCCCAACCCAACACGCACAGATGTTTCAGAGGAACCTAAAATCACGACTGAGGGATTGAGAGTGAGCCTTGTAAAGCAACAAGACACAGCTCACTCCATGGACTTGGATGCAGATGGTGCCTGTGACTCCCATGTTCCCATCTCCCTCATCTCCCTCCCCCCCTCCCCTCCCCCCCCCCACCGCCCCGTCATCACATCTGAATTCGCGAATGAGGGAGTGAGAGTGAGTCCGGTGAAGCAATAAGACAGAGCTCACTCTATGGACTTACATGCAGGCGGCGCCTGTGACTCCCATATTCCCATCCCATCCCATCATGCACAGTAACAAATGCCCCAGGATATCGGAAGGGCAAGGACAGGCTTGCTTGCAAACGCACTGCTAAAATAAAACAAAAAGGTTCCGAGTTGCGGCTGCTGTCCGTCCAACCGATCAATTGGAAGAGTCAGGAATCTGATTTCTGATGTGTCAGATTAATGGTTCCAAAGCAGCCAGCTTCACTTGTTTCAAGTTAATTTCTTCCAGACAATTTTGACACTCATAGAACGTTCTACCACGCTATAGGTAGCACTCTACCAGAACATAATTAGTCAATACTAATGATACCAGCAATGTGCATGCTTCACAGCTGCTTATTCCTACATCGATCAATGCTTGGCTGCTGTGTGCCCCTGGTCAATGGAACAACTAGAGTTGATATTACGCAAGCTCTTTCTATCTTGCGAAGCTACCCTCCTTGTAATTCTGAGATGTCATCTTGACCCATAATCTTTCAATCGCGCTTGCCTCCATCCCCTTGTGTCGAAGCCATCGCCACCATAAGGGGTCCAGCCATGGGCCCCCATGGACACGTCACACAAGAGAAAGTAGATGATATTTGTGAGATGCACCGAAAGCAGGCATCTCCATTCCAACCCCCGGGGGGGAGCGGAGGGAGGGGGCAGTCAAGTCATGGGGCATGACACAACCTCATGTCATCTGAGGCACCTCAAGACGAGGCATCTCCACTCCACCTCTTAGGGAGGATCATTCTCAGCTAACCACTGCTCCCACTCCTGAGATTCTGCAGCAATAACCGTTTCTAGGCCATCGAAATTATTCCTAAGCACCCCAGCAGAAACGAAGGTAGCCGAGCCGAGCACTGCCCCTAATACTGCTCCCCTTCCTTCCATCCTGACTACCTCTCTGCTCCCTTGATCTTGCTCCTATTCGCTTTTTCTCGCCCCCCTTTCCATCCAATTCCACTCGCCTATATCTCCTTGCATCAGCTGCATTCATCACGAAAAGAGACGACATCTCCAGGTCATGGGGGATCGACTCGACTCCAGACAACAAAATCCTGCCCATACTCCTGCTCCCTCCTTCCTCCTGCCTTTCTGCTCCCTCGCCCTTGCGCCTTTACCTCCCCCCATATTCATCTTGCCACCACCACCCCCCCCATATTCCTCGTGCCTCTACTGCCGTGCATCAGCAGCGTTTATCACAAGAAGAGACGACTCTCCAGGTCATGCGTACCGTCCCCCGGCAACCCACCCGCCCCATCCCTTGCACCTCTACCTCCCTTCCTATTCCCCTCTCCTCTGCCCCCACCAGGTATCCCCCTATCGCCGTGCATCAGCTGCGCTCATGACCAGAAGAGACGACATTTCCAGGTCATGGAGATCATCAACCGGTAAACCACCACTGCTGTCTCGCCCCTGGCCCCTCTACCTCCCTTCTAGCTCTCCTGTCCTCTGCCCACCTGGAATTCCTTCATCGCCGGGCATCAGCAGCGTTCATCACGAGAAGAGAAGACATTTCCAGGTCATGGGGGTCATCAACAGGCAAACCACCCGCGCCGCCCCTCCCACTCCCCGCCCGCCCTGGACTCATCAGCACATACTTGATCGACTGCGCAAAACTCTCCACACTTGCCCACCACCGGCCACTCTCCCTGCCCCCCATTCCCTCTCCCCTGCTCCCACTTCCCCCTCCCTACTTCCCTCTCCTCTCCCCTTATTCCCCTCTCCTCGGTCCACCTGGTAGGCCCCTACCGCCTCGCATCAGCTGCGTTCATGACAAGAAGAGATGACATCTCGAGGTCATGGGGGTCATCAACAGGCAATCCACCCGCGCCGCCCCTCCCACTCCCCGCCCGCCCTGGACTCATCAGCACATACTTGATCGACTGCGCAAAACTCTCCACACTTGCCCCCCACCGCCCACTCTCCCTGCCCCCCCTTCCCTCTCCCCTGCTCCCACTTCCCCCTCCCTGCTTCCCTCTCCTCTCCCCTTATTATTCCCCTCTCCTCGGTCCACCTGGTAGGCCTCTACCGCCTCGCATCAGCTGCGTTCATGACAAGAAGAGATGACATCTCGAGGTCATGGGGGTCATCAACCGGCAAACCACCCGCCCCGCCCCTCCCACTCCCAGCCCGCCCTGGACTCATCAGCACATACTTGATCGACTGCGCAAAACTCTCCACACTTGCCCCCCACCGCCCACTCTCCCCACCCCTCCCCGAACTCGTCCCCCCTCCCCCCACACTCAGCCGCAGGCTTCCAAACCCGACCCCCGACCGCCTCCCGCTGGCAGTCACAGCAGCGGGAACCGCCGCAGAGTACCCATCGACCAGCAGAGCATCGTCCTCGTTAAGGTTGTCAAAGAGGTGGGCGTCGAGGCGGAGTCGCTCCTCCATGGTTTGGAGCACCTCGCGCATGGTCGGGCGGCTGGACGCGTCTTCTTGCACGCAGTCGCGCGCGATGGTGCCGAGCTCGATGAGCTCTGATTGGTTGAAGTAGCCGCCCAGTTGCGGGTCCACCATGAGAGGCATCATCTGGGCATCTTCCAGGAAAGGGGCGGCCTGTGAGAGGAGGGAGGGGGGCGGTGGGGAGGAGGGAGACGGTGGGGAGGAAGCAACAGGGAAGTGAAGATGGTAGGGAAAGGAAGCGACTTAAAGTAGCCGCCCAGTTGTGGGTCCACCATGAGAGGCATCATCTGGGCATCTTCCAGGAAAGGGGCGGCCTGAGGGAGGAGGGAGGGAGACAATGGGGAGGAGGGAGACAATGGGGAGGAGGGAGACCATACGGAGGACGAAAATAGGGAGGTAGAGATGGTGAGGGGAAAGGAAGCGAGTTGAAGTAGCTGCCCAGCTGCGGGTCCACCATGAGAGGCATCATCTGGGCATTCTCCAGGTAAGGGGCGGCCTGTGAGAGGAGGGAGGGGGGCGGTGGGGAGGAGGGAGACGGTGGGGAGGAAGCAACAGGGAAGTGAAGATGGTAGGGAAAGGAAGCGACTTAAAGTAGCCGCCCAGTTGTGGGTCCACCATGAGAGGCATCATCTGGGCATCTTCCAGGAAAGGGGCAGCCTGAGGGAGGAGGGAGGGAGACAATGGGGAGGAGGGAGACAATGGGGAGGAGGGAGACCATACGGAGGACGAAAATAGGGAGGTAGAGATGGTGAGGGGAAAGGAAGCGAGTTGAAGTAGCTGCCCAGCTGCGGGTCCACCATGAGAGGCATCATCTGGGCATTCTCCAGGTAAGGGGCGGCCTGAGGGGAGACGAGGAAAAGTACACGAAAGGTAGCAGGGATGGAGCAAACAGGGAAAGGAAAGAAAGGGAGATGGAATGGAACCATGAGGGTCGAACCGGACCCATACACGTCCACCTTCTCCATCTGCATGCTTGCCTCCCACTGCACGTATCACACTCCACCCCATTGTACCGCACTGCACCGTGACTGACTCACCACGCTGGTGATGTGGACCTCCTTCATGGCCTTCTGCCCCGTGATCGGCTCCAGCAGCACCACTCCGAACCCATACACGTCCACCTTCTCCATCTGCATGCTCGCCTCATACTGCACGTACCGCACTGCACCACAGTGTTACCAGACTATACCGCATTGTACCGCACTATACCGCACTGTATCGCACTGAATTGCACTGCACCGCACTGTACCGCACTGCACCGTGACTGACTCACCACGCTGGTGATGTGGACCTCCTTCATGGCCTTCTGCCCCGTGATGAGCTCCAGGAGCACCACTCCGAACCCATACACGTCCACCTTCTCCATCTGCATGCTCGCCTCACTCGCCTCCCCCCTCTCTGCCCTCCCCGCCCGCGACTTGCGCTGCCTCCGCGGATTCTCCTCAAAGGATGACGTTGCTCCGCCGCTGCCTCGAGCAATGCCGAAATCGGACAGCTGCAGAGAGGGAAGCAGGGGACGAAAGGGCGGGTGGCGGGGAATAACAGGGAATGTCGCAACGAGGGAAGACAGGGCGGTTGACGAAGATTGAGATGATCCTACTTCACCCTCGCTTGGCCCTCTCGTCCCCGCCCATAACTTGGCGCTGTCGCCTTGGATTCTCCTCCAAGGATGACGTAATGAGTCGTGTTTTGAGTCGACTCAAAACTCGACCCTCACCGCCCATAACTTGGCGCTGTCGCCTTAGATTCTCCTCAAAGGATGACACTGCACCGCAGCTGCCTCGAGCATGCGCAGCACCAGAAGGGGAGGCGGCATGCGATGCGCACCAAAGGGGACCATAGCGGGAGAGAGGACGAGATGGCCATGAGTTCATGTCACGAGATGACCACGGCCATGAATTGCAGCATACCTTGGCGCTCATGTCACGCCACGTTCACTGCAGCTCACTGCACCCCACCTTGTGCCAGACCCTACACACCTTGGGGCTCATGTCATGGGCGAGCAGGATGTTGGAGGAGGTCACAGCACGATGCACCAAGGGAGGCGACACGCTATGATGGGATGAACCTACTCCAAGGCACACGCCACGTTCACTTCTAGTTACTGCAAGGTGCCATCAACACCCACATACCTTGGCGCTCATGTCGTGGGAGAGGAGGATGTTGGAGGAGGTCATGGCACGGTGCACGAGGGGAGGAGACATTGGGATGTGAGATGAACACATTTGAGGGCACTACAATGTTGCCAAGCCACGGTGCATGCAGCTGTGCTCACTGCTGTTTACTGCGGCTTACATACCTTGGCGCTCATATCGTGGGCGAGCAGGATGTTGGAGGAGGTCACAGCGCGGTGCACGAGGGGGGGAGACACGCCGTGATGCAGATACTCCAAGGCACACGCGATGTTCACTGCTATGCTCACACGCGTTTCCCAGGGAAGCGGTTCCAGCTCCGGCCCTATCGGTTGGGGGGTGCAGGGTGGGGTTGGGACGGGGAGAGAGAGGGGTTGAGGGTGGTGCAGTGCAGTGGAGATACTCCAAGGCACACGCCACGTTCACTACAATGCTCACACGCGTTTTTCAAGGAAGCGATTCCAGCTCCGGCCCTGGTGGTTGGGGGGTGCAGGGTGGGGTTGGGACGGGGTTTTTGAGGCGCCTCAAAGTGATTCCAGCTCCGGCCCTGGTGGTTGGGAGTGGGGAGGTTGCTGGATATGTAGAGTTTGTGTGAGGGCTCCATCCATAAAAGAAAGAAAGAAAGAAAGAAAGAAAAAACACCAGGAACAAGAATGTACTCACTGTGTAGGCGGTCGAAGAGTGTGCCATTAGAGAGGTACTCATAAACGAGGATGCGCTCGCCCTTGCCCACACAGTACCCCAGCAGGTTCACCAGGTAGCGGTGCCGTGCCCTTGCCAGCACCTCCACCTTGCACTTGAACAGAAATTCACCCAGCTCTGTGATGAGGGAAGGGCATGGGTCAGGAGGTTAAGCGGTAGGAAGGAGATGGGTTCAGTGCGATTCCGCACCAGCAGGTTCACGAGGTAGCGGTGCCGTGCCCTTGCCAGCACCTCCACCTTGCACTTGAACAGGAAATCGCCCAGCTCCGAGGGGGAGAGGATGAGGGGAGAAGTGACAGGTGGAAAGGAAGCTAGATTGGTTCAGTGCGGTAGCTTCGAAAGTACCCCTACATGTTCATGTGGTAGCGGTGCTGTGCCCTCGCCAGCACCTCCACCTTGCACTTGAACAGAAATGCACGCATGCATGCACCAAACATAGCACTCACTCTGCGGGTCATGGGCTCGCTTGATGATGGCTCGCGGGTCAGACTGGTCTCGGAAAAAGTCCTCTGCCAGGTATACCATGCCAAAGCTTCCCCGCCCATAGATTGTGGTGAAGTTTCGTGTTGCCTTCTTGATCTTTGACAGGCTGTACTCCGTTACTGGCACTGCATGGTTGGGGCAACGACAGGAAAGGGGACACCACTGGCATGTGAGCTGCAATGCAAGGTACACCTTGCCAAAGCTGCCGCGACCGTAGATGGTGGTGAGGCTTTGTGTTGCCTTGTTGATCTTGGATTGGCTGTACTCCGTTACGGGCACTGGCGGGGTGGAGAAGGGAGGAAGGGTGGAGATAACTGGCATGTGAGCTGGATTGCAAGAGACGGCTGCGCTGAAACAGACGGCTGCCGCGGCCGTAGATGGTGGTGAAGTTGTGCGTTGCCTTGTTGATCTTTGACAGGCTGTACTCTGTTACTGGCACTGGTGCGGTGAAGAGAGTGGGAGAGAATAGGAGAAAACGGAAGGAGAAACAGCAGGAACAGCTTCAGAGCTGAATATCAAGAGATGGTGGTGAAGTTGCGCGTTGCCTTGTCGATCTTTGACAGGCTGTTCTCTGTTACTGGCACTGGTGCGGTGAAGAGAGTGGGAGAGAATAGGAGAAAACGGAAGGAGAAACAGCAGGAACAGCTTCAGAGCTGAATATCAAGAGATGGTGGTGAAGTTGCGCGTTGCCTTGTCGATCTTTGACAGGCTGTACTCTGTTACTGGCACTGGTGCGGTGAAGAGAGTGGGAGAGAATAGGAGAAAACGGAAGGAGAAACAGCAGGAACAGCTTCAGAGCTGAATATCAAGAGATGGTGGTGAAGTTGCGCGTTGCCTTGTCGATCTTTGACAGGCTGTACTCTGTTACTGGCACTGGTGCGGTGAAGAGAGTGGGAGAGAATAGGAGAAAACGGAAGGAGAAACAGCAGCAACAGCTTCAGAGCTGAATATCAAGAGATGGTGGTGAAGTTGCGCGTTGCCTTGTTGATCTTTGACAGGCTGTACTCTGTTACTGGCACTGGTGCGGTGAAAAGGGGAGACCATGTGACCTCTCAGGTCAGACCTCAATGACTCGAGCAGAGGAGGCAAGGCTCATGGCACATACACTGGTCAGCGCGGTTAGAGCCGTCAGAGTGTTTTGAGACGTCTCAAAACACTTCTTCAAACTCATTGCACATACACTGGTCGGCGCGGTTAGAGCCGTCAGAGTTCCCTTGGCGGTAGCTCAAGTAGTAGGCGACGGCGATGAGGGCAACGAGAGCAGTCGTGAAGACTACAATGGTGATTATGCCGGGCACTGGCGTTGACCCTGATGTAATGAGGGAGAGAGGGGGAATAGAGAGCGAAGAGGAGGGAGAGGAGGAGGAGAGGAAGGCAGAGAGGAGAGAGAAGAGGAAGGAAAAGAGGAGGGAGAGGGAGGGAGAGAAGGGGGGGAGGGCGGAGGGGAGGGAGGGAGAGAGGGGACGTACATTGGTCTGGGCGATTGGAGGAGGAGGTTCCAGAGCTCCTCACGTTGCAAATGAAGGCCACTATAACGAGGACGCTGAAGAAGATGACAAAAAAGCCCAGCAGCACATACGCTGCTGCTGGGGAGCCTGGAACCGAATACGTGGAGGAGGAAAGAGGGGTTGGGGGAGAGGAGTGGGGGAGGGGGAAGGGAGGGGAAGGGGCAGGATGGGAGGGAGGGGGAAGAGGGCGAGAGGGGAGATGCAGAGAGCTTTGAAGACTATAAAGAAGCCCCACAGCACAGAACACACGCTGCTGCCGTGGTGGAGCCTGGGAACATAGGGGAAGGAGGCAACATAGGAGGGAGGGGTGAGTGGGGAGAAGGAGAGGGTGAGCCTAAAAATGCTAGAAGATGCTTTTTGAGTCGACTAAAAATATTTCCTGTGGTGAGCTTTGAAGATGCTGAGTGAAAGCAAACCGAAAGAAGAGCGGCGCAGCACACTTTGGCTAGCAGGGGAGGAGGGGGAGCAGTAGGGGGAGTAACCGAGGCAGCAGGCACGGCTGGGGGAGGCGACTACTGGGAAGCAGCATTGCATGTTTTTTGAGAATGCTCAAAAAACATACCCCGGCTGGGGGAGACGACTACTGGGAAGCAGCATTGCATATTTTTTTAGAATACTCAAAAAACATACCCTGGCTGGGGGAGGCGACTACTGGGAAGCAGCATTGCTGCCACCGCTGCTGCTGCTACCCCTGAGATGAAAAAGCTGAACGCACCTTGGTTGGCAGGGGGAGGAGGGGGAGGAGCAGAGACTGAAGCAGCAGCAGCCTCAGCGGGAGGAGGAGACTCCTGGGAAGCAGCATCGCCGCCACCGCTGCTGCTGCCGTCAGTGGTGGTGCCGTCAGCTGTGGGGGGATTGGCGGTGGTCCCATCAGTGGGGGTTCCGTCAGTGGGGGTCCCGTCCGTTGGAGGGGGGGTTCCGTCTGTGGAGGGAGGAGTGGTGGTGGGAGCGGCGCAGACGTCCTGTTGGTCCGGCACGTTGTCAAGGCAGTTGCCGTTGTACTCAAACTTGACAGCGTTGGTGCTGGTGACATCCGGGACTGGGCCTGTAAGCAGGTTCATAGACAAGGTTCTGCAATGGTGGGAGAGGGAGGGGAGAGCGAGGCAGGGAGGGAAAGAAGGCACGTTGTCAAGGCAGTTGCCGTTGTACTCGAAGTTCACAGCGTTGGTGCTGGAGACGTCTGGGAGTGAGATGGTCAGCAGGTTCATAGAGAGAGTGGTGTGTTCAGGGGGAGAGAGTGGTGTGTTCAGGGGGAGAGAGTGGTGTGTTCAGGGGGAGAGAGTGGTGTGTTCAGGGGGAGAGAGTGGTGTGTTCAGGGGGAGAGAGTGGTGTGTTCAGGGGGAGAGAGTGGTGTGTTCAGGGGGAGAGAGTGGTGTGTTCAGGGGGAGAGAGTGGTGTGTTCAGGGGGAGAGAGTGGTGTGTTCAGGGGGAGAGAGTGGTGTGTTCAGGGGGAGAGAGTGCTGTGTTGCAGGAACTCACAGCGTGGCTAAGCGCGGCAGCTGTGTCAGGCAAGCGGGAATGGTCCCCTGCAGCTGGTTCCTGGCCAGGTTGAGGTCATAAATATTAGTCAGCTGGCAGAGCTCCGTAGGAATTTGCCCCGAGAGCATGTTGCGGTTGAGGAAGAGCTTGTTGAGCGTCACGAGCTTGAGGGTCTCGAGCTGCTCTTGTAGTCGAGGAATACTGTGTCTCTGCTTTCAGTCCGTGCCCTCAGGACAGGACCTTCACACGCTCATACGCTACTCACAGGGTGGCTAGGTGCAGCAGCTGTGTCAGACACGCAGGAACGGTCCCCTGCAGCTGGTTCCTCGCCAAATACAGATCATAAATGTTGGTGAGTTGACAGAGCTCTGTAGGAATTTGCCCCGAGAGCATGTTGTGGTTGAGGAAGAGCTTGTTGAGCGTCACGAGCTTGAGAGTCACGAGCTGCCCCAGCGAGGGCGGGAGGTAGCCCCTGAACTGGCAGGCAGCGCTCCGTGGGGATGTATGGTGAGATGAGAGTGATGGATCGACTCACAGTGTTGCTAGGTGCGGCAGTTGTGCCAAGCACGCGGGAATGCCCCCCTGAAGCTGGTTCCGGGCCAGATTCAGGTCGTAGATGTTGGTGAGTTGACAGAGCTCCACGGGAATGGCCCCCGAGAGCATGTTGTGGTTGAGGAAGAGCTTGTTGAGCGTCACGAGCTGACCCAGGGAGGGCGGGATGTCCCCCGTGAGCTGGTTGTTGTCGAGGAAGATCTCGACTATGTTCTGCAGCTCGCCCAGGTTGGCTGGGATGGGGCCGGTTAAGTCACAATACTCAAAGGCTCTGCGGGTAGTGAGGGAGAAGGGGAGGAAAAGGAAGGAATGGGATGGGATGGGAAGGGATGGAAGAGAGGGAATCAGGGGGGGATGTCCCCCGTGAGCTGGTTGTTGTCGAGGAAGATCTCCACTATGTTCTGCAGCTCGCCCAGGTTGGCTGGGATGGGGCCGGTTAAGTCACAATACTCAAAGGCTTTGTGGTTGAAGGGTAGGGAGAAAGGGGAGCAAGGGAGAGAGGGAGGGACGGAGGGGAAAGGAAGGACAGAGGGATGTCCCCCGTGAGGTGGTTGTTGTCGAGAATTATCTCGACTATGTTCTGCAGCTCGCCCAGGTTGGGGGGAATGGGGCCTGTCAGATCGCAGTACTCAAAGGCTCTGTGAGTGTGTGTGGGAGGAAGGGAGGGAGGGAGGGAGGGAGGGAGGAAAGAGACTCACATTCACTGCATTGACTCATGTTGACTGCATGCATTGACTCACGTTGACTGCATTGACTCACGTTGACTGCATTGACTCACGTTGACTGCATTGACTCACGTTGACTGCATTGACTCACACATGTTGAATGCGTTGACTAGCGTTGGCTGCATTGACTCACTCACATGGACTGGATGCGTGCCATTTTCCCTAGAAACTCTGGGATAGTGCCGTTTATACCCTCGTTGTAGCTCACGTCCCTGCAGGCAAGAAGAGGGGAGAGGAGGACAAGAGAGGGAGACGGAGAAGGATCAGTTGAGAGGGGAAGGAGGGCAGGGTTGGGTATAAGGTGGGAATTCAAACCCTTGTTGTAGCTCACGTCCCTGCAGGCAAGAAGAGGGGAGAGGAGGACGAGAGAAGGAGAGGGAGAGGGAGAGGGAGAGGGAGAGGGAGATAAATGGGAAAGGTAGACGGAGATTTAAGTGCATGGCAGCGCACACGGGTACATGAGTGATTCGAGCATGCTGTATGCAGACTGGAGGAAATGTGAGAAGTCAGTTTTTGAGTCGACTAAAAAATCATGCTGAATGTAGGCTGGGGGAAATGTGAGAAAACGTGAGGCCGCCTCAAAGAACGTGTAAAACTAGGGAGGGCATAGGCGGAGAGCTGTACAAGCAGGGAAGCACTCGCAGGTAAGTGCATGGCTGAATTCACAAGGGGGTGTCCATCCGTTGAAGTGCAGAGCAGCAAGAGGGAGAGAGCAGCAATAGGTTAGTCTCAACAGTCCATTCATGCCTTACACTTGCTGTACCGTTTATTATATTCAATAAGGACCGTTAGAGAGAGAGCAGCACAGTACGCACAGGTACATGAGCGACTCGAGCTTGCTGTAGGGGTCTGGGATGGGCCCCTCCAGTGCACAGCACAGCAGCTAACAGAGGTATGTGAGTAGGTGGTCTACCCAAGTGCAGCGTGGCAAGAGGGAGAGAGCAGCACGCACAGGTACATGAGCGACTCGAGCTTGCTGTATGAGTCCGGAATGGGGCCTTCCAGCTTGTTGTTCGCCACATAGCTGCCATGAAGGGGAGGGCATGGGGGGGAGGGCATGTGGGGGAGGGCATGGGGGGGAGGGCATGGCAGGGAGGGCATGGCAGGGAGGGCATGGCAGGGAGATATGGGGAGGATTCTTAAGTGCATGTGTAGGAGTCCAGTATGGGCCCCTCCAGCTTGTTTTTCGCCACATAGCTGCCATGTGGGGCAAGAGGAGGGCATGGGGGTGAGGGAATGGGAAGAGCGCATTGGGAGGACTCTTGAGCGCATGTGTGTATGAGTCCGGGATGGGGCCTTCCAGGTTGTTGTTCGCCACATAGCTGCCATGCGGGGGAGGGCATGTGGGAGGAAGAGAGGGCATGGGGGAGAGGGCATGTTGGTGGGAGAAGTCGGAGGGAGGGAAAGGAAGAGAGGGGTGTGATGGAAGCGGGGATAGGGGTGTGATGGAAGCGGGGATAGGGAATTCAGGAGAGCAACAGAACAGACACACAGGGATGAGAGAGAAAACGACTAGGAAAAACAAACACAAAGGAGATGGGTTCTTCGAGTATGTGCTGTAAAACGCATTCGATCCCAATGCGCAACAGATTCTCTCACATGGCGGATAATTTGGGTAGGTCCCCTAGCTCGGGGGGGAGCAGCCCTGAGAGCTGGTTGTCGTCCATGGCACTGAGGGGTAGGGGAGGAGGAGAGAGAGCACATATGGGGGAGTGGGGCCAGAACGCAAAGAGTGAGGTGGATAGATTGGGTAGGTCGCCTAGCTCGGGGGGTAGCAGCCCTGAGAGCTGATTGTCGTCCATGGCACTAACGGGGGAAGGGGGGGGAGAGAAGAGAGAGAGAAGGCAAAGAAAAGGGGTTGAGGGGGAGAAGGTGGGAAGAGAGAGAGGGAAAAAAGGGGGGGGGTTGATGGGTGAGGGGAAAAAGGAGGGGAGTGTGAGGGGAAAGGAGCAGCCCCGAAGTATACTAGAGATGCGAGTATGGAGAGAGTATATGGGTGGAGCTTACATGGAGTGGAGGGACACTGCAAGGGCCAGCTGGGAGGGGATGGGGCCTGAGAGCCCGTTGGTGTACATCTCCCTGCATAGGTGCACAGGAGCACGAGGGAGGGCACAGGAGCACGAGGGAGGGCACAGGAGCACGAGGGAGGGCACAGGAGCACGAGGGAGGGCACAGGAGCACGAGGGAGGGCACAGGAGCACGAGGGAGGGCACAGGAGCACGAGGGAGGGCACAGGAGCACGAGGGAGGGCACAGGAGCACGAGGGAGGGCACAGGAGCACGAGGGAGGGCACAGGAGCACGAGGGAGGGCACAGGAGCACGAGGGAGGGCACAGGAGCACGAGGGAGGGCACAGGAGCACGAGGGAGGGCACAGGAGCACGAGGGAGGGCACAGGAGCACGAGGGAGGGCACAGGAGCACGAGGGAGGGCACAGGAGCACGAGGGAGGGCACAGGAGCACGAGGGAGGGCACAGGAGCACGAGGGAGGGCACAGGAGCACGAGGGAGGGCACAGGAGCACGAGGGAGGGCACAGGAGCACGAGGGAGGGCACAGGAGCACGAGGGAGGGCACAGGAGCACGAGGGAGGGCACAGGAGCACGAGGGAGGGCACAGGAGCACGAGGGAGGGCACAGGAGCACGAGGGAGGGCACAGGAGCACGAGGGAGGGCACAGGAGCACGAGGGAGGGCACAGGAGCACGAGGGAGGGCACAGGAGCACGAGGGAGGGCACAGGAGCACGAGGGAGGGCACAGGAGCACGAGGGAGGGCACAGGAGCACGAGGGAGGGCACAGGAGCACGAGGGAGGGCACAGGAGCACGAGGGAGGGCACAGGAGCACGAGGGAGGGCACAGGAGCACGAGGGAGGGCACAGGAGCACGAGGGAGGGCACAGGAGCACGAGGGAGGGCACAGGAGCACGAGGGAGGGCACAGGAGCACGAGGGAGGGCACAGGAGCACGAGGGAGGGCACAGGAGCACGAGGGAGGGCACAGGAGCACGAGGGAGGGCACAGGAGCACGAGGGAGGGCACAGGAGCACGAGGGAGGGCACAGGAGCACGAGGGAGGGCACAGGAGCACGAGGGAGGGCACAGGAGCACGAGGGAGGGCACAGGAGCACGAGGGAGGGCACAGGAGCACGAGGGAGGGCACAGGAGCACGAGGGAGGGCACAGGAGCACGAGGGAGGGCACAGGAGCACGAGGGAGGGCACAGGAGCACGAGGGAGGGCACAGGAGCACGAGGGAGGGCACAGGAGCACGAGGGAGGGCACAGGAGCACGAGGGAGGGCACAGGAGCACGAGGGAGGGCACAGGAGCACGAGGGAGGGCACAGGAGCACGAGGGAGGGCACAGGAGCACGAGGGAGGGCACAGGAGCACGAGGGAGGGCACAGGAGCACGAGGGAGGGCACAGGAGCACGAGGGAGGGCACAGGAGCACGAGGGAGGGCACAGGAGCACGAGGGAGGGCACAGGAGCACGAGGGAGGGCACAGGAGCACGAGGGAGGGCACAGGAGCACGAGGGAGGGCACAGGAGCACGAGGGAGGGCACAGGAGCACGAGGGAGGGCACAGGAGCACGAGGGAGGGCACAGGAGCACGAGGGCACAGGAGCACGAGGGAGGGCACAGGAGCACGAGGGAGGGCACAGGAGCACGAGGGAGGGCACAGGAGCACGAGGGAGGGCACAGGAGCACGAGGGAGGGCACAGGAGCACGAGGGCACAGGAGCACGAGGGCACAGGAGGACAGAGGGACAGACATGGCTTGGGATGGCAGGCAGGCAGACAGCAGGAAAGGGGGATGGGGCCTGGCCTGAGAGCCCGTTGGTGTACATCTCGGGACTCGGGGTTTACAGCGCAAAGTTGGTGTGCAAAGTGACAGCGCTTACAGGACTTCAAGCTGCTTGAGGTTCCCTAGCCACTCGGGGATGGGACCCGACAGCTGATTGGCTGGAAAAGAGCTGCAAGGAGCAAGAAGTGAGCGGGAAGGGAGAGAAGGAGGAGGGTGATGCGGTTGGGGGTGGGGGGAAAGTGGAGGAAATAAGGAGAAGGGATATGAGGGCGTGGAAGGGAGAATAGAATCAAGGATTCAAGTTTATGCAAAAAACAAGAGTGAAGGTTTCTGGCAGTGAGCTTACATGAGTCTGAGGTTACTGCAGTAGGCTAGCTGTGGTGGTAGCTCGCCCGATAACTTGTTGCTGCCCATGTCCCTGGAGGGAAGGGGGAAGAGAGCGGGGGAAGAGGACAAAGGGGGGGAATGGGTGGGTGGAGAGGTGGTGGGTGAAAAAAAACGGCTAGCTGTGGAGGTAACTTGCGCGATTTCTTGTTGCCGCCCATGACCTCTGCAGAGAGAAGGAAAGGGGAAGAGGAACGGGGAGGAGAACGGGTGGGTGGGGAAATAGGGGCTAGCTGTGGTGGTAGCTCGCCCGATATCTTATCGCTGCCCATGTCCCTGCAGGGAGGGGAGAGGGGAGAGGGGAGGAGGGAGTGGTGGGTGGGATGGTGGGGAGGAGAAAGAGGTATGTGCCTACGAGAGGGAACAGGGCGACGGGACAGACAAGGGAGAGTTGAACGTAGGGGAGGGGGAGGCAGTGAGAAGAGAGCTGATACGAAGCGAGCCTTACAGGGTGGTTAGATTCCGGAGGGTGCCGAGGCTTCTAGGCAGAGAGCCGTTGAACTGGTTGTTGGCGAAGCGACTGGTGGGGAAGGGGAGGAGGGGGAGGGGGAGGGGGAGGGGGAAACACGAGCAGACTGAAACGGTTGATACGCGACGGAGGAGGAGGGGGTGGAGAGGCTTTTAGGCAGAGGCTCGTTGAACTGGTTGTTGGCGAAGCGACTGGTGGGGGAGGGGAGGAGGGGAAGGAAGAGACACGAGCAGAATGTTGAGCAGCACACAAAGAGTGAGGGAAGCACAGACAGAGGAAGAAACACACACAGAGGCAGCAGCACATACAATTCAAAAAGCTACGCACATTTCAATGAGCCGTGAGAGCAGTGGCGCCATCCAGTCCGGGATAGGTCCCTCCAGCTGATTCGCCTCAAACGACCTGACCACAAGAAGATGCACGCATGCACGCACACATGTACACACATGGGAATGCACAGGCACACATGAAAGCCCATTCACATGTATGATGAGAGTATATGTGTAATCATGTGTATGCCAACGTGCTAGTCTTGGCTTTTCTTGGTGACAGACAGCCATGACTGAAAAGGCAGTTTCAGCAGATAGTGTGTGTGCAACAAATGAGCATTCTGCACCTACCAGGAAGATGAGAATGTAGCCATAGAAGAAGCGCCTTAAAAAGAGATGCAAGGCGCTGTAAGAATGGGAGCTGAGAAAAAGGGCCCTTACGAGAGGGGCCATAAGGCAATTTTATGAGTGGAGTGGATGGGATGGGATGGGATGGGATGGGACTAACAGGAAAGTGAGGCCGTTGAGAGAGCCAAGGTCCTTGGGAATGGGGCCAGTTAGAGAGTTGTACCCCAAATTTCTGCAGTGAAAACAGGAGAAAGGCAGGAGGGACAGGGTCTAGTGTTTTAAGGAGCAAAGGAGAATAAGGCAGTAAGGGTTGATACTCATGGTAGTCACTCTGGTACGCAGGCCTCTCCAACCTCTCTGGCTACTTCGCTACCTCCCTCTCTCTGCACTCACTACTAGCTTGATATTGCCAATCCAAAGAACTCATTTTCCTGCAATTTACACGCCCTTCTCGTTTCCAAGCATGTTCAGAAGAGAAGAAACACAAGGCGCAAGCAACCCCAATGGATACTGACCTGCATTTGAACACCACCTGCCTGTCCCCTCAAAACCCAGAACCTCCGCCTCAAACCCTAACTCGCAGCCTCCATAAAGCAATGCATCAAAGTCAAGTCGTAACCCAGCGCATCAACCCCCGTAAAAGTGAAAAGTTTCTCCGGCCTAAAACCTAACGCGTGCCACCAGGCACTGGCTAAAGGAAACTAATTTTGCCAAAATCCGAACCTCTGGGCTGAACCACATGATAATGTATCGGTTTTGAAATGTCGAAAAACCAAATTATTACTACCCTAAGGCCTAAGGTGCCACCAGGCAGGCACTGGCTAGATGTGAAGCTCAGCGTGCCAAGAATCGAGCCCCTAGCCTGAAGCTCTTCAGTCTTGAAGCTCCCCCAGCCCCAAACCCTAATCTCCCTGCTGGCCGCCCCACGAACCCAAAGCAGTAGACAACCCTAATTCCACATCTTCCACCACCAGGCAGTGATGACTTAACGAAACCCTATCGGGCCAAGACTCGAACCCCTGGCTTGAAGCTCTTCAAGTCTTGGAGCTCCAGCCTCAGACCCTACTGCTGCAGCAGAACCCAAACTCTGTTCTCTCACCCTGCCTGCTGCTGCAGAACCCAAAGCCTCAAACCCGACTCTCCTTAAGACAAAAGCGTGCGCTACTCACAGGCGCTCTAATGCATCCAGCTGCGCCAGCTGTCGGCCTGGGATTGGCCCTTTGAGCAGCTCGTTGGCGAGATTGCTGCACGTGGGAAAGGGGAAGCAGAATGGGGGGTGAATTGGAGACAAGGAGCAGGTGAAGCACGAATAAGGGGCACTACACCAGGGATGGCAGCATCTGGGAACGAGTTCTGAGAAGCCTCACGAGTTCCAAGGGCCATCAGTAGGGAACACGTTGATTGGACGGAAGGATGAGCATCCAGCCGGGCCAGCTGTCATCCTGGGATTGGCTCTTTCAGGAGCTCGTTCGCCAGATGATAGCACGGGCAAAAAAAGTGATAGCAGGAGGGGGAAGGGAGATAGCAGAGCCCCACACCACAGCCCCCCCTTCAGCAATCTAATGTGCCTACAGTTTGATAATCCGGCCATGCTCGTTGCACTTGATTCTCTCCTGCCACTCTGCACTGCACGGTCGATGTCATCTGGGAAGGACTGCAGTGAGTCGCTCCTTTCTCCCCACGCCCCCCCCCTCTCTTTTCAACCCAACGTGTTCGCAACTCAATGACTCGGCCATGCTTGTTGCGCTTTTTCCTCTCCTGCCACTCTGCGCTGCACAGGTCGATGTCGTCTGGGAAGGACTGCAGTTACTCACACCACACCATCCCTCTTCCCCTCCCTCCACCCCCTCTTCCCCCTCAACCCAACATGGTCAGTGCTCACAGCTCTATGATCCGGCCATGCTCGTTGCATTTGATTCTCTCCTGCCACTCCGCACTGCACGGGTCTATCTCTGTCGTCTGGGAGCGACTGCAGTCAACCACTCACCCCCCCTCTCGCCCCCACCTCCCCGTCCCCTCCGCCCACTCAATCCAACGGGCACAGTGCTCACAGCTCTATGATCCGGCCATGCTCGTTGCACTTGATCCTCTCCTGCCACTCCGCGCTGCACGGGTCGATGTCGTCTGGAAACGACTGCAACGCCGCAGGATTGGACGCCATGAACGCCGCTTTGAGGTTCAACAGCTCCTCCGCTGCACAAGTGATGAGAGGAAAAGGGGGAAACGCAAGGAGTAGGGGGTTAGGGCTCTACATGGGTCGATGTCGTCTGGGAAGGACTGCAGCGCCACGGAGTTTGACGCCATTAATGCCGCCTTGAGGTTCAATAGCTCCTCCGCTGCATGCAGGGAAGGGGGGGGGGGGGTGGGGAGGGAGGGGGGGGGGGGGGGGGGGGAGGGTGGATGGAGGGGGGGTTGAGGGGGAGGTCGGGGAAGGTGTGGGGAGGTGTAGGGGGTTGGGACACCACATGAGTCGAAGTCATCTGGGAAGGACTGCACTGCAGGGCCGCGGGGTTTGACGCCCTGAACGCCGCCTTCAGGTTCAACAGCTCCTCCGCTGGAGACGGAGGGCGGAGGGGGAAGACGGGGGGGAGAGGGAGGGGAGGAAGCGGGAAGGGTTTGGGGTGGAGAAGGAGGGGGCGTTGAGGGGAGGAGGTGGGGGATGGAAGAAGGGAAATGTGTACAGGGCAGATTGAGTGATGTTTCATCATGACACTGTCCGTTGGTTACCATGCGAGCTGTCCGTCACGTTCCTATTTACATACAAAACATGGAATCTGGGGAATAGGAATTGCTGTCGTTGCTTATAGCGAGTACAGCGGCAAGGGGTTTATTTTGGCGCTTCAACAAACGATGTCACGTCCCTACGTACAGATACAACACCATGGAAAATAGGACTCACTGTCAGGGCTGGCGAGGGCTGCAGGGATGAAAGCGACTGTCGTTAGCCACGTCACGAGCCATAGAGCCACCAGCAGCACATGCGCTGACGCCATCGCCGTAGCTGGCTTTCGACGGAAGTGATGCGTTTTGTTTCGCTCTTGTGTCGATGATGCTTGTAACGCGGACGTCGAATGTGTAGAGGATAGGTTTCGCCCAGTTATTGGGCTGGCCATCGGCATAAATAGGACTGTAGCGCGGGTTCAGTCGTAAGAAGAAATACGAAGTATATTCAGGCGAGAGTGAATTTCTGCAGGTAATAAGGGTACCTGAAATTACGTTGATAAAGGGGAGAGGGGAATTTGTCGACGACCCAAGAACGAAAGAAGAAACCACCAGCGCACCGGAAAAAATGACAAAGAGATTTGTTGTCAAATGGAGCTGAATTCTAACGTGCCCCAATCTCGGGTTTGCTATGTGACATTCTTAGGGAAGCACAAAGTTTTGGCGTGCAGCAGGTAGCATGAGGAACTGAGGGGGAAGACATTGAGTCTTTCAATAGGCAGTGCAGACATACACTTCATATCTACTGAATTTTTAGGTTCGCAAACAAAACAAAACATTCTCAATGTCGTGAGTCATTTACAAGACTCTCTAGAGGCGTATTCATATACATTGGATTTAACAAGTACTAAAGAACACGTTCTTTTGTGATGCGCCGATTAACGCTGGATATGCAATGCGGAGTTTATCAGCAGGATGTTGATTCTGCCACGGTCAATTGTAGTATTTTTAGTTTGTCTGCTAAACTTTCAAAGTAATCACCTAACGACGTGAAGCGCGAAGAAGCTTACCTGGCTATTGCCGTCTCATGCGGGACTTCGACAAGGCGGCATTACGCGCGACGGCAGCGAAAGTATGACAGCCAGGATACCCGCATTGAGGAAAATGTCGACTACCAATATTCAGTGTCATACGCAGCCAACAACGGAACGAACTGCAGCAGAAGCTCGAGACTACTGTATAATGCGGCCGAGATGAGCAGAAAATGGTACTGCAATGAGAATACGGGCTAGATGAAGACCACTGAAAGTAGGTAATGCGGCCTAACCTAACGAATAACCTCACTAAACGAGTCCACCAACGAAGCGTGAGGACTAACGAAACTCGAGATTTGAACCCAGTCTACTGAATAATGCGAACGAGACTCATCCCTGCTCTTCTATTCCAGCCACAAGACCGAAGCACCTACCAGAATATCCGAGCTTGCAGATATAACTGAACATCCAAATTCCTTGTGAATCCTCCCCTTCGACATTGAGGCGTGTCCAAGAGTTATCCTCTTCTTTATCGTACCCAATCGTTACAAACTCTGAACAACCCTTTCTGCCAAACTACCCAACCGCTTTGAATCCAACTTCCTTGGAGTCAACCTTTAGGCGCGACTTCACCACCAACCAGCCATCAGCAGCAGGACCCTCAACCTCACCTCGACTCCCGCAGATGATGGGGCGAGGTGAGGTGAGGTGAGGTGGGCGGAGGAGCCAGGCCAGCCACTGTTATCGGGCCAGGGGGGGTGGGCGGAGGAAGCGCAAGGGACACACCAAGCGCCAGTTCTGTACGGTACTGGTGTGCGCACCTGGCGGGGCGCAAGAGAGTACACCTTGTTCTCAACATTCTCACCATCGCGCGCACTGGTTACAGTGTTTGGACGTAGCGGGCTGGTGCGATAACTCGGTTGTGGGCAAAGTCGCACGAGGTGACAAAACAAGCCTTGGGCAGTAAAAAACCGTTAACGCTGAATAGCCGTCCCAACCGTTTTCTAAATGATAGTACCATTTTTTTAAAGTTTGAAACCCTGACTGACCGCCTTGGGTCAAATTGTCACTATAACGCATGTGATATGACATTCTTTGATCCGTTACGGTTATACTGGGCGTCCCGGTCAGTCTAACATATGCCAGACTATCGAGACAAAGGTGTAATCGCTAGTGCGGCGGCAGCGTGTATGTCTGCCCCTCGCCCAACAAACATCTCTTCTCTGGTAGAGTCCGGTAGAGCCCTGCTGCCCTGCGATGACCATCCGGTTCGACTGGAACGCTTGGTGAAGAGGAGGGGTGTGGGGGGGGCGGTGTAGTTTGTCAACGACAATTCTGGTCTCCACACCAAACCTTTGAACTGGTCTGGCAACAACACACCGTACACGAGAAAACAGCACGGTTGCGACTCCGAGCTTCATTTACAGGTTCGGCTGCAATGAGCACGATTTATGATTGGGTGAGACGAACCCTAACCTGCACTCCCCCGTGGTTTCTTCCGAGCAAGGCAAGCTGGCAAAAAGCTGTTAAGAACATCGATATTGCGTATTCCACTTAAAGCGTATAGTGTCTGTATTTTCATAAAATTCGAGTAACAGATATGGTTGCAGCCGCGGAACACGTCATCACCATCCCGGGGCCGTACCGTTGACATGGTAGGGCAAACGCCTGCTCGCAACTTGTACCCCAGACTAGACCAGACTAACTGCATAGTACATGACACGTAATCCTACTGCAAGGAAAGCAACCAATCCGATATCGCCAAGCACGGAACAATGTCCACAAACTCAGCGAGCCAGGTTTCCCGCCAAACCACTGACAGCAAAAAATCCGCACAAATGGCTTCGCGGCCGGATCTCTTTACACTGCCCAAGCTACACACAACCCAAGCCTGGGAGAAAACACAATGCCGAACAATTTCCATGACTGCAGCAATTCTCAAGGGCGACAGCAATGTTCGAGGGTGTAATAGTGTGGCAGCCGAATGCTGCCAAGTACAGTGCAGGTGGGCGGAAGTCAAGCGCCACCTCACCAACTGTTCGTATTGGTCAAACGCCTCAACCTGCAGCTGGGCGACCAGGTCCTGACGCGCAGCCCAACACAAACCCTCGCGCGAAAATCACGAAACGCAGAACACCGAAGTTCCGACCGCTCGCCGACTTCGCCAACAACACCGACGAAATTACAGCCCCGTAACCAAGCTCGCCGTCCAATCCCGTACCGCAATAATTCTCTGAATTTCACGGCAGTTTCATTTCAAAGGGGTTGGGTTACCATTGAGAAATTCAGAGAGAGTCGCGACTTGGGTGTGCGACTCGATATTTGAATAGCTCTATAAAATTGTACTGTGAAATTTGTGAAGTCATAGTGCAATCTCTAGAGAACTCCACAGAGCACTCTATCCTCGTTTTCCTAGCCTACTAAGGCTGCTACTTCCCTGCCAGCAACGTTTCACTGGTAATCAGAGCCTGGTTAGTTATTTCGCACGCCCCGCCATATTCTAGACCCTATGGCCGGACCGTCTGTTAGGGGTGGTTAGCCGCTGCACCGACTCTAGAGCGTGAAAACGACAGAACATGACACTTGGAAATTGCCTTACCTATGGCGGTGGGAGAGAATAGGCTGGACAATGAGTTCTGACGGTGGGAGGAGCTAGCTGAGAAGATCGTGAGGAGCGGCTGGTGAAAACGAGGGTTTCAGGAGAGAGAGAGAGGGAAGAACGTTCTCAACCGCCAGAAATTTTCCCAACCATTCCGGAGGCAGTGTTCGGTGGAGTTGAAGAAAGTCGGTTTCAAAGACGGTTCAGTTTGAATTTCGGTTTTCAACGTCGGTTACTGTTACGAAATTCGGATTCGCGACGAGGCGCGTTACACGAGGCGCCCTTTGAAATTCGGATTTCGGATTGCTTAAATATCATGTTCTGTTTTCCTCTTTGTATCAAATTTTCATAGTGAAACTTTCTGTTTGCAACCTGGGTTGGAAAGCAACCTGTTTCTTCAACTTTGGAATTCAGTTTGAAGCCCGCTACTGCTACTTTCGTGACTCCTAAGTCACGTACTCACTACGACTGAGTCTAAGAGCTGGTATCAGAGCTAGTTCTGGTGCGTGTTAAGCATTCAAGAAGGGCCAAGACAAGTTCCTGCATCTGAAGGAATATATTATAGAGCGTAGCGATAACGAGAGAGTTTCTGCTAGGGAAATGTTGCGTCAGCAACTTGGTAGAGTTTCGGTAGCGTTCGCGTCTAAGGACTTAGTGAGAATTGAAGTAGCGTTTGGACTTCACTAGGAAAATAGAATATATTGAACACACAAGCAAACACACAAGCAAATATAGGCTACGGGAGAGTTTGGAGAGTTGCACAAAGTTGCCGTGGTGCTGCGCAGTAACCCAACCCACACGAAAGTGTCGCGAGGGTGGGTGAACCACGCCTCGGCCAATTCCAACCTGACTCAGCAGCGGAATGGTTCGCCAAACACGTCACACCACCAAACACCAACCCCAACTCGGCTACACCATACAAGACACCCACAAACTTGCTAGGAGGTGGCGTGCCTTGCAAGGAAGGCTCGCAAGACTCCCATAGACTAGCACAAGCTCCATCGCAGCTGCTGCTAGTCAATGCGTGACCACCGTCTTTCCCGAGTTGGTGTTGTCAACGCTAGTAGTCGCCCACCGCATACGACTGAGTCAACAGCTTCGTGAGGGCCCTTGCTGTCGTAGGGCCCTCCAACACTCCCCTGCCATACTACAGCAAGGCCCTTTATAATCACAGGGCATGCATACACACATACACGCCAAAACAAAGGGAAACACACACAAACGAAGCACTCTCAAAGTGCACACACGCACCGCACCAGCCATGGATAGGCCATGGCACCATCCACATCATGGAGTGTCTAGGTCTCACTCCCCTCGCTCGAGAGCCTCACCTGCCCCACAGCCTCAAAGCAACGACTGAAGGCGGGGAAATGCAATGCCTTCGTGAGGTAGTCAGCAGGCTGCTCGCCCGTAGGGATGTACTGCAGCTGCAGCTTCCTGCGCTTGACCATGTGCTGCAGCCACATGTGGCGACGCTCCATGTGCTTGAGGCTCCCCTTGAGCCCCAAGCTACCTGCCACTGAAATGGCGGAGGAGTTGTCCACAAAGAGAGTAGTGGGCTCCTCACTCCTCAGCAGTTGAAACTCTGCCAGCAGGAAGCGCAGCCTGCGCGCCTCCTTCCCAGCCTCCACAGCAGCAACATACTCAGACTCAGTGGAGGAGAGGGTGGCGCAACGAATCCTCTGGCTCGCCCAAGAGA